AACTGGATTTACATGTACGACACTTTATGCTAGTGAACCGGTAATTCCCAAAGAATGCATTTAGCTAGCCTGCAAAAAAATTCAACAACAAACAAATGGTCATGTCGACATTCATGTACGGTAGGGCCTGTTGCATGTAGTTTGAGCCTACATTTGTAATACCCGGTATCGTACAAGGGGAAAATGGTTCAAATATTATCAGAAGTGTGCAATTTAAGGGGACCTTTGTACCCTACTTCAGACAATAATCGCGTTCCTGCGGTCTGGTCAGTGGAACTGCACCTTTCAATACAATATACATGTAAATACAAACAGCTCAGAGAGAAGCCAAGTTATTGACATAACCTGATACATGTACTGTATTGATGTGATTGAACACTGCAGTACCTGTACCACATGTGAGCTTGGTGTTCCCACTGCTCCAAATAAAAAAACTGAGAATCAATCTGCCGACGTCATCCTAAAAATCCTCTTCATTCCTGATGTTCCATTTTATCATCAGAAAAGGAAACATGTATTTATTGGTGGATGCATGCAGTGTGCTGCATGCACTGCATGTTGAGCTCACAATGTACCTTCTAAGGCGAAGTAAAAAAAAAAAAAGTTTCTCGTCCGGGGTTTTTGAAAAAAGGGAGGAAGCGGGGCCTTTTATTTTTAATTTTTTTCAAGATGGCCACCATTTTAAAATGTCCTGCAACCGTTGGTTGTGTCAACTGTTCAAAGAGACTTTTAAATGAAAGACAAGTTGGACAAGAGAACTGAACATATTTACAGTGTCGGAAAAAAATCGGTACTGGGCCACAACCTTTTTTCAATTAATTTTCAAGCGCCAAAAGTTGTATCCTTTGATTTACTTCATCGAGATTCGAACCTCGGACTCTTACTTGAAACACGAGACTCTTAACCGCTAGGCCGCGCACGATCGCTGTTGCAATAATCAATCTTTGGACGTATTTGAAGTAGCCATTGAAATAAACCAAATATTCATGAGAAATAAATATTCATAATGACGTATTGCACTATCATTGGCTGGCTCATGCGACGTCATGGTTGTCGATGTCATGCGTCATGCGTACCGCTGTCTGTCAGCCACACGTCAATCAGTTTTGACCGGCTGCTTCAACTTAGTTCCGCACGACGTGTGCATCCAAAATGGGCTCTAAAAACACATTTTGCCTAATTTTTTTTCGCATTAACACAGCTTCCTGGATTCCTCTTGGGTGAAATCACAAGGTGAGGTGAAAATTGATGTGTTTAGCGGCAGGTAAAGTCGTGGCCCAGTATGGAATTTTTCCCAGTGTCATTTAGAGTTGTATTGGTATTGGTATTTATTTTCCGATGAATTTGTGGACTTTTTCTGTGTTTTTTTACTACATTTTTCAAAAATAAAAAATATAAAAAAAGGAAGCGGGCGGGGACGAGAAACTTTTTTTTTTTACTTCGCCTTAGTGCAAACCATATCAAGTTACATTCCCAATCCATATTGGAAGTTCTACCCTGCCCTCATCTACAACTATCATTTTAAATTTTCCCCAACCCTGAATAAAAATCACTGTAAGAACACATGTATACGGTAGTAGGCCTTGTATGTCCAAAACCCTGCTGAATCCAACAGGATCTGTTGGATTGAGCAGTTAACCCCTTGTGTACATTCCTCATGCAAGATGTTGGATTCAGCAGGCAACTGAACCGCATTATAACGCATTGTTGGACTCCGTTGGATTCAGCAGACAACTGAAAATGAGGCACAGTGGATTGAACGGGAAAGTCTGGTTGGACTCTTGGATTTAGCAGGGTAGTCCTGAGGAAGTGTACTACATGTAGGGGGTTAGGGTTAAAAAACTAATCAAAGGGAGGGTTATGTACCATACATGTACAATGTACACGAGTGCAGATGGTGTCTTTCAATATTGCCCTAGTGGAATTTCACGGACATAAAAGATCTAGAACGAGAATGACTTTGATCTGACTACCCTTGTCTGTTTTCATAGCGCAGTTCTCTGACATATCCACAGGCTGCGTACACCCTGGATCCTGCCCTGCATAGCCTGCACAACAAGGCCCGAACCTAACAGAAGGTGAATGCAGTGTAGCATGCCACACATACCACGACAAAAACGAAGGCCATGTCTGTGATGTTAATATGGGATCATCAGAACAAATTTCATAGACAGTGACTGCTAGTACATAGTAGTGCTATGATGCAGGTAATAAGATTAGACATTTATTTTGATTCAGCACACATGGATATAGGGATACTTGCGTCTCACATAATGGTTCCATGCTCATGGACGGTTTTTTGGAAAGAATGTTGCATCCTGACGTCGCCACTTTTTTTCATCTCTTTTTCATGGATTTTTGTGTCATCTCAATGGAGGTCAGTCATTGCAAACATTTTGGAAAGACATGAATCTGGGACTGAGAAACATTTCCAATTTTGTTCGAAAAATTACAACATTCTTCTTGACTCCCCATAGACTTTGAACCCAACCTACATTGTACAAAGTGGCGTCTGGATACTACATTTTGCCCCTTTTTTAAATTGCAATCAAGCACACATGTCATATTATACAAGAAGGCATGTAGTACCATACCGGTATGTGTACATGTATGCACATACAGTAAACATGTACATAGTATGTGCTTGACTTGTTTACAATTTTGACAAATGGTTTCATAGCATAACGGTGATGAGGGAACACTGCTCATGCATGCATGTGTGCTCTGTGCATGAATTTCGAAGGAAATAGCCAACAAACTGGTACATGTACAAATGTATAGGTTGCCTATCCTGTGAAAACCCTTGAACAAAATAAAATACCGGTATGTTTGAGATAAACCCTCACATTCATTACATGTATGTATGTACAGTGTACATGTACAAAATGTATATGTGTACATGTACATTACAACGATACAACATGTACATTGTATACATGTACCGGCCACATACATCTCTCCTACATCGTAGGAGAGATTTGTAACGTATGTATGTAAATCCTATATTGTAACAGATTAGCAATACATGTGTACACATGTATTGCAAATCTGTTGAAACATAGGATTTCATGTACATGTACATACACGTACAGATGTACATGTACTATACACGTACATGTGCATGTACACATGTACACGTACAAGTGCCCCTCCTCCCACTACTGAATTTATGCATTTTTATTAGCCATGTTTTGAGCCAGTTCAAAATTAGTCACATTGTCACATTTTCTGACAATGACTTTGTAATCCAAGCAGCCTGTGAATTCAATTGACATGTTCATATTTTGGGCTGAAGTATATTTTCAATGGCTTTTAAAAATTAATCAAGCGTGCCCATGAAGCCTGGATCCCGTAGCCAGCCAATTGAATGGCATCGTTATTCTAGCATAGCACACAGCAATCCTTTAGAAGTCAAGAGCACAGGCTAAAAATACATGTTAATTTATTCAGGCCTCGTCCACACGCGCAAGCAGTGCACAGCAATAATATGGCAGGCAATAAAATTATAAGCGGAGTGGCTAGCGCACTATGTGCACCGAAGATTTGTAAAATCCTAACATAATAAATTATTCCAAGATAATGCAGTCAGTGATACTCCAAGCGCATGGGCCCAACCACAAATTACCCTGAAAATGGGCTGGAGTTGCTAAGCTTCAATTAAGTTGACTGAATTTATAAGATAATCTCTTATCTGCCTGAATTCTCCCATACTAATGAAGCACAACTGATAATCTGGTTGTCATGGATGAATTTGTGGCATCCAGTTTAGAGACTAAGCACTGTTCCCGGAGTTAATTTGTCAGGGGCAATTGCTTTTTTTGTAATACTTGCATTATATTTTTGCCATTGAAGAGGGCTTCCAACCCCTCCATGAATGTACAGCCATAGCTGCTCAGATAGATGGCCCCATCGGATGATGAGCAGCAATTGATATATTTTATGCAGACCTTGGGATCGTCATTTTTATTCTTGGAAAAATCGAACTGTGGGGACTAATTTTCCCCCAACTTAATTTGTATCGTTTGATAATATTTAAAAAAAATTTGCACATTTACATGTACTACCGGTACATGTACATGAGATGTACATGAATTATTTTCACTTCATGCAAAGCAAAAAAAAATGGCCATAGTAATTCACACACGGAGCACTTTTATTGGACACTTAGGAAAAAAGTAAAGATCAAAAATCAAAGCAAGCACAAAGTGACAGTTTTAAATGTACATATATGTACGTATGAGATGTCAGTGGATCTTTGATTTTAAGTCAAGGGCGGATCCGGGGGGGGGGGGGCCAAAGAGGGCCATGCCCCCCCCCCCCCCCAAAAACGAAACCAATTTTTTTTTTTTTTTTTATGTGACATCGCAATAAAGGCAGGCAATGAGTACACCACCATCTTTTCCTCAAAAAAACATTGGTTAAAGTGGTCAGAAATTGCCTCAGATCGCACCACAGAGCATCTAGAATCCAAAAATGTTTCGGGGCCCTTAAACGGGCCCCGAACACCACGCTGTAATTTTTTTGACCCACTTTTTTGGGGGACCAACATTTTTTTTGGCCCCCCCCCCAAAAAAAATTGTGTTCTGGATCCGCCCTTGTTTTAAGTATGGAGTTACTGGTAGTGGTACCTTTGTGAATGTCATTGTTGTATGGCTTACTACAGGTCACTTGACTTAGTCAAGTGCTTTTCTTGGGCAGGCTGTAGTCTCCAGGTCATTGTGCTTGATTTTACAATGCATGGTATTCTCCTTTTGATATGCACAAATATAAACCCAATCTCCCTGGGCATTTAATTGACCTACCAGTACCCTAGCCACCCTTTCTTTACTTCGAACTTTACAGAATTAAGTACTATTGAAGGTGCAGGAAGGCCTGGGAGTTAGGGTTCATTCAACCATCAAAGCCTATTTATCAATTACATGTAAGTCCTGACCCTCCCCCCCCCCCTTGCTTTTCATGGGGCCCTTGCTTTTCATGGGCCCAGCATTGTATTTACTTACATGGGGTCTCTTCCATTCAAATGGCCTAGGTGGCTTGGTGCTGAAGAACAGTGAAGAGTCAACGGCTCTGAATTCTGGATCCTCATACAGACGGGAGGAACTGTACTCCCGCTTGATGTCCTTGTATGCTACTTTAGGTCTCGGCATCTTGCCCAGTCAGTTGTGCACTCGGCACTGCGAATATCACCGACAATTCCAAATGACAGCTGAGGAAGAAAATTTAATGTAGAATAGAAATGTGCTTATCTATTTAAAAAAAAAAAAAAATTATCTCAAGGAAAAATCTTGTGATATACCATGCACATGTGTGCATACTCAATGGGCACACTTTGCTCTATGCTTCATAGAGCAAAATCAAAATTTGTCCCCCCTTTTTCAGACGTCTATATTTCGTGTAATTTCCAGGTTAAAGTGATAGAAAATTAGTCCCCCTTTTTTCAGATGTCTATATTTCGTGTAATTTTGTGTTGGAATATCGATACACTAACTTGTGTAAATTAATAAGGGTGAGTGTGCTTCTAAAGCGTAAATAAACAACAAAGTCCAAATGTGAAAATAAAAACTTGACAAAAAAATGTTGCAACCTTGATACATGGAGGTAAAGGAAAACGTTCATATATTACACAAAATTATCTTTTTTTCAATTGATATTTCCTTTATTGTAAATCTTCACAGCGAGGTGGTGATATTGGCAAAAATTGAGCGAGGTGGTCACTGAAAGTAGCGAGGTGGGCCGCCTCACGTTTGAATGGGCAGGGGAAACACTGTTACAATGAATGACATTCATTGAGATGATATACGAAGAAAAAGTGGCGTCAGGTAGTTGCAACATTTTTTCCAAAAATGACAAAGTTCTACATTTTCAAGTACATGTTCCAAGTGTGGCCTATATTTACGGAGATAGTCCAGTAAATTGGCCACATTTTTAAGTTATGGGGCTACCGAAACTGTAGAACTTTGTAAAGTTTTTATTGTCACATTTAGCCTTTTTAGTTTATTTACGCTTTAAAAGTGTACACTCACCCTCTTTAAAGCGATAGAAAATTTCAATTCATTTCATTTATTATTTTGCAGGTCAAACTTACAATGGGTAAAACAAAAATAATATTACAGACAGTAGGCCTATAGACATAAAAAAGACATAGTTTAAAAATTACACATAAAACGTTATTTATAGACTAAACCTAAATTAACTAAAAATAAAGTCTAAATGTGAAAATCCAAATTTGACGCTGATGCTGCTTTTTCTTCACAATCATATTTCATCTCAATGAAGGTCAGTCACTGCAAAAATGAAGATAAGACATGAATCTGGGACCGAGAAATATTTCCCATTTTGTTACGAAATACTTTAAAAAATTTCTTAACTCTCCATAGACTTTGTACACAACCGCCAAAGTAGCGTCAGGTTGCAACATTCTTTCCTAAAAACACATGATCATTGATCATGTTGATGGAGGAAAAAAAGAAAAAAAAGTTTTGCTCCAAATTAACAATAACAAAACACGGAAAGAATGTTGCAGAAAGATCCCCATATCTGGCCATCAAAGATTCCCATATCTGGCCAAAAAAATATGCCCTTAAAATTAAAACTAATAAAAGTCAAATTAGCAGGAAAAATATTGAAGCATTTATTGATTAAGAAAACACTTAGAAATTTTCAGACCAGTCTCATGGGGTTTGTGCACAGGGTGACAAGTGATGGCCAGATATGGGAATCTTTCCAAAACAAGAATCTGGGATTGAGAAACATTTCCAAATTTGTAAGGAAATACTTACTCTCCATAACTTTAGCCCCATAAATGTGGCCAATTTACAGGACTACCTCCGTAAATAAAGGCCACACTTCCACCATGTACAAAAACATGTCGAACTTTGTCAAATTTTGATTTTCACATTTAGGCTTAGTTGGTAGGGTTTTTTTACCCATACTCACCCTCTTTAGGTAATCAAAAGTGCTGCCTTTATCAGATGTCTATTTTTCGTGAAATTTCCAGATTCGTTTGCACCTGTTTGCGTATTTGACAAAGTTCGACATGTTTTTGTACATGGTGGAAGTGTGGCCTTTATTTACGGAGGTAGTCCAGTAAATTGGCCACATTTATGGGACTTGGGGCTACATAACTAAACTTTGTACACAACCAGGGTGACCGTTTTAGCCGAATTTCGGCTAAATTTGGTAGAATTTTTCGTAAAAAAACAAGTTTGACAAAAAATTTGACAGAATGGATTTTTTTGGCAGATTTCTGACAGAATCTTCAAAAATGGTTATTTTCACAGAAATACACAGCAAATTTGTGTAAAAAAAATGGTAGGGCCTACATTTGTTTTTAAAAACTTCAATTTTTCAAACAAACACTTGCATAATGGGACAGGTTGGCTGGTCTATACTACCTGACTACTATAGGCCTAGCCATAAATGTGGCCCATTTAGATAATTTACTGGACTGCCTCCGTAAACATAGGCCACACATCCACATGTACAAAAAACGTGTCGACTTTGCCAAATTTTGATTTTCGCATTTAGGCTTAGTTTGTAGTTTATTTTTGCTTTAGAAGCATACTCACCCTCATTATAGGCTAATCAGAAAGTGCTGCCTTTTTCAGATGTATATTTTTCGTGAAATTTCCAGATTCATTTTTACACGTTTGCGTATCAAAATTTCAACATGAAATTTCACAAAAATTAGACATCTGAAAAAGGCAGCACTTTCTGACTAGCCTATAAAGAGGGTAAGTATGCTTCTAAAGCACAAAAATCCTACAAACTAAGCCTAAATGTGAAAATCAAAATTTGGCAATGTTGACACGTTTTTTGTACATGTGGATGTGTGGCCTATGTTTACGGAGGCAGTCCAGTAAATAGGCCACATTTATGGGGCTACTATAGGCCTAGTGCTTAGCTCGTAGAACTGGGAATTCGTCGCGAAACAATTAACCGTGTTTTATGCAATTTCAATTTTCATGACATCTTTATGTGACTACATAACTATAAGTGTTTATAATGTAATTTGAACCTTAATTAAGACAAAACTACAACATCTGCATGTGAGTGATTATATATTGTAAGTGTTTATAGTGTATTTTCGAGTGATTCTGGGGAATTTAGCAGATTTTTGATAAATCTGACAGATTTTTGAAGCGCATTTAGCAGAATTTGGGCATGACCTTACGGTCACCCTGTACACAACCGCTCATGAATGCATGTCAGATGTAGCGTCAGGTTGCAACATTATCACTATCACAGTATCAGCGACCATTCTTTCTCAAAAGACTAGTCACATGTGAATTAAAAACATCAAACATTCTCAAGTTTATTTTTTTTCTCTCTCTCTCTCTCTTCCGTTGACAAGTGACTGTCAGTGTCATTGCTCAAAATTGTAGAATAAGCGTGATAATCCTTACCTACACCTACACTGTTCCAGAAACGATGCGGCGACCACGGCGAGCAGGACATGCAGGAGAGCAACAGCACGTACGCGGGGAGAACACCGTACCGGGGGCGCGGCCAGGCTACCCAGCTAGCTCGCTAGCTGTGTGCGACGCGGGGCCAAGGCCGATACCAGCCTAAAACAGCGCCCTCACGCCAAGCCCTGGTATCACTGGTGTGCTTTGTCAATAGTCGAAGACAACGTGGCTGGTGAGGGAACCCGCGAAACGAGGGGCTTGGCATTTGTTGTAGAGGTGTGGTCCCTGGGCCCTGGCGTATGCTATTTGCATATTAAAGGGACTCATCAGTTAGAGGTTTTTAGAGGTGTGGTCCCTGGAACATGGGCGTCGCCAGATTTTTTTCTAGAGGGGGGGCAAAACATATTTTTCCCAAAAAGTTCCTGTATTCTCAACATATTCTTGATTTATCAGTTTTAGAGGGGGGAGGGACATTTCCCCCCACCCAATTAAATTTAATATGACTTCGCGCCTCTTTTTCTTTTCTTTTCTTTTTCTTTTTGTTTTCTTCCTTTTTTTGTGTGTGGCTTTTCCAGGGGGGGGGGGGGGGGGGCGACGCCCATGCCCTGGAATAATGCTATTTGCAAAAGAACCACTACAAACAAAATAATGCTAATTGAAAAGTGAATTTAACCCATCTTTAAAGGGAAGATACAACATTTGCAAACATCACGAAATGATCAAAAACTGGCTTTTTTCAAAAACTGCTCCTAATTTTTCACAATTATAGTTATTCCGCGTTTTCTTTGCAATTGTCTACACACATGTGAAGGGGTACAAGCCTGCTAGACTGATTCTCTGACCTTACAATTCCCCAAAGTCTATAAATTGCTCCGTTTCATCTTAAGTGTGGTCAGGGAACCAGACTACAAGAACAGGATTGATTTTCTTGGTTTTCCCAGCATATACAAGCCCAAAACTTGAAACAAGTCATTTTAACAATATTTGCTATAACATACTCTAAATCCATTTATTTCTGAAAATTGCAGCAAAAGCAAATGTTGTACATTCCCTTTAACGGACGGTCGATTTAAAAAAAAACATCTTATTTGAACAATAAATCAGCACGAGTATGGTATTTAAGGCTCTGCAGTCTTTTGCAAATGCATCTCAATGCAAGTTCTTTTAAAAAGTAAATGCCAAGCACCCAAAATTTAGCATTAGTATAAGGTCTGTTTGATCAGTTGGGTTAATCAAAATTTGTAATTTTAATTCCGGGGGGGGGGGGGGGGGGATTTAAATGACATGCTATGCATAACCACAAAATGCAAATTCGTAATCGCATAATTAAAAATGTGTAATTCCAACAATCGTAAAAAGGACAAGACATTTCATCGCATATCAATTTCACACAAAAAATCTTTATTTTCTATCAGTGAAAATTTAAAAAAATTCAACTGGCTTTTTTCCATCAATACAAAGTCCCTGAAAGTCAATACAAAACTAATACAAAATCTCAAAAATAACTCTTCATAAATGATTATTCAAATAAAATACAAAGTACATAAATTCAGACTTTCTCATAATTTTCATTAATTTGAAAATATTAAGTTATTGCATTCCAATCATTCATGTAAAGACCCGATCTTTTAGAACATATATTTATTCAGTCATCAGTTACAGCAACATCCATTTAAAAACTGAATCTAATTCTGTAAAAATATTCTGCCAAAAAAGAGAAAAAGAACAAAATGTCAGGATGTGACAATGCCTGGAGAGACTTCTTCTCTCTCTAGCCGTATGTTGTCAAAACTCAAAGTCCTTATAAAGCCACCAATGGCCAAAGTTTATAAAGTTTTGAAGAATTCTATGATATTTTTTTTCCATTAAACATTTTTGGAATTTGAACGCTGGTTTGTTTTTTGTTTTAGTACTGCACAAAACTCAAAAGTGTCAAAAATTTATGAAAGAACAATTTCTTGTTTTCCATTCACCATTAAACCTTATGTTAAACACTTGATCGAGTAAATAAGAAACTTTAGTGTATCACTGATTCTTGTTGCCAGCATGTGTGCATTTAGTTGCAAATGTGGAATATATTTAGCCTTTTTGCCCTTAAATCAGACAAGTCACCAAGACAGGAGTCATTCCGTACATTTGGGGTCCAAAAGTGTGACCTTTTTTGTGTCCATGTTACACCTGACCTGTGTAATTTGCCATGCAAGTATCATTAGAGTTGACTTCACACTATTTCTGTATTTTTTTGGCAGGTACTTTGCTTTAATTCATAATCGCTCTTGGAGAAAGAAGTCATTAACTAACAGAACTCAACCCACCAAGCCCCAACAGCATCTGTCAGGATGGGTACAGTACCCCTAAACTGACAGTCTTTTACATTGGGTTGGCACACCTCCAGAAACAAAGTCAGAAATATGTGTGTGCAGTTTGGAATTCGCCAGGATGGGTATGGTTCCTAGTATATCATATGGTTCCTAGTACATCATATGGTTCCTAGTACATCATGCTAGGGACTTTAGGGAATTAGGGTTCAAGAATGCGTCCTGAATTACACAATCTTATACAGTCGCGTCTCAATGACCCACAAGCAATTTTAAGTCACTGAAGTAAATCTGGAGTAGCGAACAATACGTGATTCCCAAACCCGCCAAAACCAGGCAAAATTGCAAAACTGTTCAGTTCCCCACAACGTTATTCTAATTGCACTAAACAAATCGTCGGGTCAGTGCAACAAGGTCGTAACTCCATTCTACAACAAAGTCGTATCTCACCCGAATACGCTCCATGCAACAAGGTCGTATTTTGGTGTCCATTGACTTTGTGTGTACATCCGGGTTATTTTAAGTGAGACGCAACCTTTTGACATTCTAAGTTTGCGTTTGACGTTTGGCCCATTTTAAGAGATGCAACCTTGTTGCATGGACACGACAAAATGTTGGTAACCTGGATTATAAAAAGGTAAAAAACAAATTTATGAAAATTTATTTGACAATAACCACCTGTTGGAATTCCTGAGTCTCCTGACAATGGCCAGAGCATATACTGTCCAAAACGTTTGGAACCTCGCAAACTCACAAAAGAGATTTGTCACATGGCGCAACCCGTAAAATCAATCTTAAATCACAAAAAAAATTATATATGGTGATATATATTTCACTTAAAAAAAGACATCTAAATTACATGTACTGCACAATGTAAGCTTGAAACGCTTTTAAGAGTAACTGAGAATTTACCAATCAACATGATCAAAAAAGCTAAATAGTGATCATTATATGATCGCACACGGCAGTGTATAAAAAATACAAGTGAATTATCTGAGAAAATATATGATTTTACAAATGATATAGAAATAAGTAAATTACTTGTGACGTACGTCCAAAGGTTCACTAAGTGGATCTTCCATGGAAACAATTTTGCTTATAGCAGTGTACATTTTTTGCTATTTTGCTACTTTTTTCTAGCATTATCCAAGCTTTTCCAATGAGTCATGAAACAAAACTATCAGCCAACCAAAAAGTGACAGATTTAATCAATTTCATATTTTGATTTCATATCATGATTGAGTCCGTCCTACTCTATGGTGCAGAGACGTGGACCCTCACAACCAAGGAGAAGTCACTGGATGGATGCTACACTCGCATGCTACGTATAGCCCTCAACGTATCGTGGCAGGATTGTATGAGGAATGATGACCTCTACAACGGCATGCAGAGAGTGACTCACAAGATCAGACAGCGTCGTCTTAATCTTGCTGGCCACTGCGTCCGCCACCATGAGCTTGCTGCCCACCCAACCATACTGTGGGAGCCCACCCAGGGCACTGCCTTAAGAGGGAGAAGAAGTCTGACCTTTGTGGACCAGCTCAAGAGGGACACTGATCTCACATCTGCAGAGGAGCTGCGCACCTGCATAGTAGATCGAGACAGCTGGAGGAAGAGGACTCAGGGACTGGCTCGTGATGTCGTCACAACCCAGGCGACCCCAACATGATGATGATGATATTTTGAATTTGGCACACTCTTTAATATTAGATACCTTGCACAGTGCGCACTCAATGTGAACAGGTTTTGATTTCAAAATTTGTTGACAATGGAAGAACAAATTGTCTACCCATGCGTAGTAATGGAGAACAAAGACATGCCCCCAATAAGGGTTCTCTATGCAAAGGCTCTATTCAAACACTTGTAATGCATATTACTCTTCCGGCATATATATATTTTTATAACAAAAGCAATGTGTTTGGAAGACCAAAGTGAACGCAGATTGTTTTTACTTTCAAAATATACAATAGGCATTCTGGCAAAACGAAGGGAAAAAACCGGGCAGAGGTTGAAATGAGGGTTTGTGGGTACAAGAAAGAGAATGCAATTCTCCTTACAATAATGTTTTTATGCTTCAATCGGACATTCCGATGACATTTATCAACATGTCAAACAAGTAAAATACAGAGGAAAAGGCCTTTGAGGTTTCGAGTTTTGTAGTCTAAAATTAAAGTTGACAATTGTTTTTCTTTTAAACACTTTTATTCCATGATTTTTATACTGTTTCTTTAAAAGATGTGCAGTAGACATTTTATGGCATATTTCTCCATTACGGCCTGTGCCCAGTTGCGTCTCATTTGGCCAGAAACGCCTCATATGTGTTTTCCAGAAAGAAATCCATTTTATGGATTTGAACTCTATGACCAAGATTGGGCCCAGGATTGTTTAAACGCCAGATTATTGGCATCTAGATAACAGGAGCAAGTTCTTGATGGTTGGTTGGCAGGATCTCAGCATCTTCTCCTTCGGGCATGTAGTTCGTGCTATGATTGCTGGTATCTTCTTCAGCCGTGTAGTTGGTGCTGGGGTTTGCATCTGAAAGCTGGCCGTCAATAAAACAAGTAAAGGGAAACATTTCAAATGATGGTCAGATTGAAAAGATAGAACTATATCAAGGGTTAATAACTTGTGACCTCCAATTGAAAAAAAAACAAAATCTGAAACCGTTGACATGGTTGAAGGTAAAAGCAGGTGCATATAATCCATAGAGCTATATTAAATTACTAGAGCGCTAACTCATCATTCTTGCGCGCGGAGATGCTTTGAAGCCGCTCTGGGCGCAGACATTTTGAATTCATGTGCATGTTTGTAGAACACAATGAAATTAGATAGATTGCATTTTAAAAGTGTACTCTAAATGTAACGCGCAAGTAGAAGATACGCAAACAACTTAAGCGCGTCATGACGGTTCAAAAAACGTCACAGCAAAAAGCATCTGCAGCAGATACGCGCACGCATTGCGCTGTTTGCGTAGAGCAAAATGAAACGCTCATTTGCTGATCGTGCATTTTGGTTTTGGGCGTATGGACTTCGATGACGCACCGGTATGGAATCCAAACGCAGATATGCAAATAGCCGTACAAAATTTCAAGTTTTCCATAGGTTTGTGCACAAACATGGATGCGCCCAGCAGGCATTACTTTGTACATCGATTTAGCACTCTAGTAATTTAATATAGCTCTATGATATAACCAAACATTTGTGAGGTGATCTGGCAAAATGAGACTGAAGAGGTCAAAATGAGGGTTTGTAGGTATTAGGAAAGAAAATAAAATTCACCTTACAAATAGGAAAGAGAATGAAATTCTCCTTACAATACTGTTAATAAAAAAAAATGTGTGTAGTAGACATATCAAAGATTACAAATATCAAAAAATTGGAAAATCAGAAAAAAAATGTACCCCCATTTATTTTCTATTCTTCTGTATTTCTCCACTACGGCCCATGCCCAGTTCCGCCTCATTTCGCCAGAATACCTCATATTTTACATGGTGGGGGGTAAATGCTATTCATATTAGAGTGAAAGTGACTGAGATTAAATACAGGTGGAGATTTACAAAGTGTAACATGATTACTCAATAAATACAGCTGCAGTAAACAGGCCACTTAAAATTTGATTAACAATAATATTTCTGCTGTTTTTTAACATTATTCATGGATTGTGCTCTTTCACAATGCTCTGTTCGGTTTTCTTTTATGTTAAAATTATGTTTTCCTGTATTGTATTACGCTAGAGGACAGACAACAAAAGGAGCACAAAGGGGCCTTTCATCCTCGAACGATGGTGCCTATTGTCCTCGAATGCAGGTTTGTGCGCTTAGTCTATGGGAAAGGTTTAGATCAGGGAACAAAGGAAAACACAAAGCCAATCCTCGGAAGCATAGCAAAAAACGACTGGGTGCATTGATACATATTTGTTCGGGTAAGGCAGTATTTGCAAATGTTGTGATTAGCTTTTCAATTACTAAATTACAGTGCAGTTGTTTTAAATATAAGTTTACATATATACATGGGTAATGCAAACAAGATGATTGCTTTCGCCAAACTGGCAAGAATGCAAGTTGAAAGGTCAGACATAACAGATACACAACCAGAGATCATTCAGGCTAGAGACAATGGGGGTGGCAGGTGGATAAACAGGCTTATCCAAACCTTAGTTTTATCTGCAGTTTCAGATTGAGTTTCATATCCAGGACTTTTAATTTGTCCAAAGTTGAGAATGTTTTCAGGTAACATCATCCAGTTGTCTGAATGTGCGGCCAAAGTTTGTTGTACTTTTGTTTGTTTAAACAAGCTCCATGGTTTAAACAGTAAAAGTTCCAAAACGATCCTGGAGAACACGATGAAGCCAAGGATCAGAGGCCAGCAATAAACCAAGATTCATAAGGGGGCCATCGGCTTACCAGTGGCTCAGTCTCATCACTACGCTTCCTCCTGTATTTCCTCACAATGACCACCAGAGAGAGAAGCATAATAGCAACACCAAGGCCCATCAAAGCATACTCAGCAATCTGGCAGACTAGCGTCGGCACACCCACTTTACTGTTATAGGTGTTCACCATCCAATCGTTAGCTTCAAAGGACTGAAAAGATCCATTAAAGAAGATGGTAAATGAATGGGAATCATTACGCTGAATGGGGAATGGCACAAAGGACCAAGGCTGACATAAACGAATTACAAGCGGGCACTTTGCATAACTGTGTTCAACTTAACAGCTTCAAGTCATATTTCTTTTCACTGTGAACTGACACGAAAGTTACTTAAGCAGCAGAATTCCCTTAGAAAGTTTAGAAGTGTTCTTGAATTTCAAGATGGTGAACTTTGCAACACTTGGCTACTGTTTTGAAGAGTAGCACCAAAGAGACTTGCCTTCCAAGGTTAAACCTGATAGTTTTTGAGTGCTACGAAGAACATGACCACAAGTACTTAGAATTTGCTGCACTTCATACACAAGAGCATTATCCCAGGGTCAAACTTTCAATAATGGCACTTGAAAAAAATTGTAGCATTTTTGTAATACAGTGGGTTCTATGGGGTAAAAATCTTTCTCTCATAGAAACTAAAGAAAACTCCAAATGCCACTTTTTCTGTTTGTGATGTAAGTGAACCAAATCCTTACAACCTGCAGTTTTTTGCCATGTCTCTGTGCATGTGATGAATGGTATGGGACAATATACAGTCGAGTCTCGTTAATACAAACTCGTTCGGACCTAGCCAAATTGTCTGTTATATATCAGAATTTTGTATTTAAAGGAACATCAGTCCCATTCATTGTACACATAAATGCACAGTCGGGACCAAGGCTTTATGTTTGTTATAACCAGAATTTTGTATTAACAGAGTTTGTACTAACCAGATTCGACTGTAATGTGCCACCTGGGTATCTGAGAAATTCAAGGGGTATTTTTTTAAGGAATGTGCCCTATCATAATAGGTTTAGAGTGCATTCAGAAGTTGGGACTTGTGAAGAGAACTGATCTAAAATCCGGCTACACGTAGGTATATCAGCCTGGGTTCTGGGAATAGTAAAGAGTTGCAGTGGCGTTACGCAGATGGTTTATTTTCTTACCGTTTCAACCAGGTCTATTTGCAAAGCTAGCTTCAATTGAAATAATAAGTGAAGAAAATTCAACAAAAAGGACTTGAAACTAAGTCCAAAAGACAACTGCATGCACTGGTGCTTTGTCAGCTCAGCTTACAATCATAAAATCTGAACAGTTACACTACATGTATGCCACACAAATAAAAAAAGAAAAGAAATGTTAAAATCCACACCACGTATTTTCAAACCTTTCTTTAAATATCAAACCACTTAAACCCGATCAGACAAAAAAAACCCAGGAAATTATCAAATCAACACTTTTTCAAAGTTGTCTCTAATGTAAATAAACCGTACCTGTTCAAACCAAAGCATTGGGAAGTACACTGGAATTATCTTCTCTATATCGCTGTAAAAGGAACCAAAAAAGAAAAAGAACTTACTAAGCATTTTACAACAGCTCATATATATGTCAAACATTTCTGTTAACAAAATCGAATTATTCAGCAAAATGAAGAATTCAGGACTGGTCCACTGGATCAAACAGGCACTGTTTCTCTTGTTTCTCGCTCAGAGAAGCACTAAAAAAAATTCTACTCAACCATTATCGCTAAAGTAATATTCTGAAATTTGAATAGGACACAGCAGTAGATGCATGTGTGGCAGGTCCAAGTTTTACTTGTATTTCTCAATGTATCTTTTAGTGTCTTTAGTATAGGAGTAGCCCCCCTGAGTAAATCCAGCGTTTTTATTAGCTTCCCCCTTCCCTTCCCTAGTAGTGTATACCCCTGATAAACTTTCCCCGGTAACAAGTTAACATAGAATGCAAATTACACCCATGCCATTAGTGTCCCCCCCCCCCAGACCATGTGTCCTGCCACCCTGTAAGCCCAAAGACCCTCAGTAGCAGACCAGCGGCAGTAGAGAGAGGACTGTGCGTTTTTAGTTCCACTCTTTTTCCCCTTGATTTTTCTGGGTTGCGCCTTGCCCTGTGTGAGTGTTTATCTGCTCAAGCCATTGATTTCTGCCAGAGTGTATTCTTTAAGATCCACTTATGACACACTGTGTTGGTTTCAGGCTTCAGGTTTTTAATCTTTGGTTTTAGTTAATTTGGTTTTTTAGCGTTAAGTCTGTTTTGGTCATTTTGGTTTTCTTTCAAGTCTTTAGTTAGTTTTCAGTTTGGTTTTGATTTTCAGCTCTTGTTAAAAAATTCTTTTTTTCTTTTTTTGTTGTTTGAAATCTAGAATTTGTCTCTGGTCTGTACTAATTCAATTGCCTCGCGACCGTTCCTTTCAAAGATCCTGAGTTTAGTTTAGTTTGATTAGTAAAACCCCCATAGAGTTTATTTAGTGCGAGTTCCCCACAGTGGGTCGTTTTTCCAGGTTACACATGCAATCTATGACTAGTTGATGACATTTTGCATCAGATGATGTAAAGTTTGACAAACATTTTGTCCTTCACCAACTGCACTAGTAGACAGAAGCTCATGGGTATGAGTAGTCTTGATCCAAGACTGGTTTTGGATTGTTTTCCCCTTATACAGCCGGTCCACGACAAGCGAGGTTGCTATCAACAGGATGAATCAAATCAATTCTTGGCAATATTGGCAGCGCTACCCAGGAAATTCCGGGCATACCTTACGCGCTGTATTCAAGCTAATGCCTGCGCTTGAGGTATGCTCGGTATTTCCTGGGCAGCGCTGCCAATATTTCCAAGACGGATTTGATTCATCTGGTTGATAGAAACCTCCAACGCAGCCTCGCTTAACTGTGTTTGTCACAGGACTGGCTGCAAAATAGGGAAATTAAAAAACAAATCCAGTCTTGTAACAAGACTAGGGTTTGAGTCCCAACCAAGTGATCTTGTTAAGTCTTTCTCTTCAACTTAGCATACAGAGCTTCACGATACAATGTCCGCAAAGGGTAATTTAGCAAAACCTCTGTCATGCACACACAGCCAGATTTTCTACTAGAATTGTCTTAGACTAAACACTTGAACTTCACGATTTTTGGTCCCAATTTAAACAAAAGTTACAACTAGCGTACCTAAATCCGGCTACTTTTTCTAAGTACAGGTTCAGCTGGAGACGGAACTTGAGTTCAAAGGTTACCCCCAATATCTGCAATTGAGAACACAAAACGTGAACATTAATTTTGATACCGGTACTTTAACAAATGTTAGTTTTTTTCAACGAAAGTAAGACATCAGCACTGAATCTGCAAGATGACTCAATCTCTCCCAAGTGCACTATATTCCACTAAGCTTACAAGCCAGGCCAAGGCACCAGTATGCTGGCCCAAAAAAAACATCTGCAATTGAGAACACAAAACGTGAACATTTATTTTGATACGTTAACAAATGTTAGGTTTTTCCCCAACGAAAGTAAGACATCAACACTGAATTTGCAAGATGACTAAATGTCTCCCAAGTGCACTAAGTTTACAAGCCAGTTAGCTAAATCACAGGCCAAACGCACCAGTTTGCTGGCCAACAAAACAATCAGTTTGCTTGCTAATGAACAAACCTGTTTTATGTACATCATGTGCATGCCAACCATCCATCTGATTGCGTTGCCTAACAAGCCAGCTAAACCAGCAAGTCATGAAAGACCATTTCAGGCTGTTTTACAATTGCAAATCAACAATACGTGCAACTTAACCATTCACACAGGTAACTTTCCATTGATTAAATTTGGAAACACTTGATCTTTCATGTAAAATCACTTGTAATTGTTTCAGATGTCAAATTGGTGCTTTATAATCTACCAGACAAGCTGAATGCCAGCTTGGAAAACAAGCCGAAAAGTTGTCCACTCTTACACTCATCCCACACTCCAAACGAAAACACATTTCTGAGGTCTATCCGCTCCGTTCACAAGTACCCCCTCACCGGCAAAGAAAGTACAGTTGGGGGTGACCAACCGAAGCCATCTTGCCTGACTGCAATTTTGCCGCGACGCGCGGCCGTACCACTGCGTGTACATAGTACAAATCCCCTGGTGTACATGCGTCACACACAAGGAATGGTGCGCGTCAACAAGCTAAATGTCCCCTAAATGTCAGCTAAATGGGACGTTGTTGTTAGCTAGGGCGCCCTCTTTTGTTAGCGCACGGATTTCATACTCACAGGTTGCACAGAGAGATAATTCTTATGCTCGTTAGGATCTGGTGCTAGCCCATTAACGCCATCAATTAATGACCTGTCACCATACAGGAAATGTGGGTTGGATATGGAAGTTGGAACACCTGTAAACAAACACATACACGTAGGAAAAATGTCATATTCTGAGTTAAAGGATGATGACACCACAACAAACGTGATTAATTCAACCTTTGGTGAACCGTGTGCACAATTACATGTACCAGAATACATGACGATTGGACAACTCTTGAACTGTGTCGGAATATTTATGACATGTTCTGTCAAAACCAAGATGCTTCTCGGAAGAGCTTAAAATGAGAACGTGACCACAAAACAATGTAAATGTAGGGAAGATTTTCATGTTGGTTTTTTTTATTATGATCCTATATTTGTCTAAAATATAGTGTAAAAGGTTCAGACCATAATTTTGCCTCTTAAGGTAATTTTTTTTTTGTTATGTACATGTGCAGAGGCATATCATCATGACCCAAAACTTTTAACAGCAATTTTTACGTTTTCACTTTTTGTGACATCGCAAACGTTAAATGGGCATAATTTTGCTAAGGAAAGTCTGTTTTTTTTTAATTGCGCAGTCATTATGAAGAGGAAGATTTATATTCTAAGTTTTGTAACAATTTACATAAATAAATTTAAAAACTTTTGCAAGCTATCTCACCGAATCTGCATTTATCCACCCTCATTTGACCCGTTGGTCCACAATCTTCTGTCTTCACATCACAGAAGCCGGCATTAGGCGGGTACACACTTCCGTTCTGATAAACGTTGGGTGGGAGGTAGAAACTAGATACAGGAACACCTCGGATGGTTTTGGCTCGGTCAAAGACATAGGGCATGGATCTACAAATGAAAAGGCAGCAAGATAGCAGGAACAATTAACCATGGTTCAGGGTTGGATATGTGGTAGTTGAGTCCATCACAAGTCCATCACAAGTCCTCCAGGCCAAAGTCAAGTCCCAAGCTGTTCAAATAAATGTGGCAAAGGCATTGACATTAATTCTTCAACCCCTGATCGTTGTAACTGTAATTGTGAAAGGACTTGTGATGTACAGTCGACTCTCGTTAGTACAAACTCTGTTAATACAAAATTCTGGTTATAACAAACATAAAGCCTTGGTCCCGACTGTGCATTTACATGCACAATGAATGGGACTGATGTTCCTCTCCATACAAAATTCTGATATAACAAACAATTTGGCTAGGTCCCAACGACTTTGTTATAACGAGACTCGACTGTACTTGTAACCTGACTTAAAAAACACTACTGAACATGCTAAATATTTGCCATGTTTCTGGTAGATAAAAAATGGCTGTTTTCACGAAAGAAGCAAGAAAATTAAATTGAATTTCTTTCATTGGCTGAGCGTTTTTGATAAATTTGCTTGAATATATCACTGTATAAATCTGGAGAAACTGATTATGCTTGGTAAAGTGGAGGGGAAAAGAAACAGGGGACTGCAGAAACTCCGATGGACAGATGGAAATGCTGCTCTTACAAAGACGTCAATAAACATCTGCTACACCAAAGCTCAAAATCGCCATAAATGGAGAAACTTCATCAAAATGGTCACAAATACTCAGTTACGAGCAGAACGACGACAAAATCACTGTTAGGAACAAATGAGAATTGAGGATTCCTGTTAGCATGGTTAGTGCTGCCTCACATCTGGACTCCGTACACGAATGAGAGAGCAGTATGTGACCACCTTCAAGAGCCCCATGGGGAGGGACGCCCACCTAGTCGTACACAGGATGGCGAGAAGAACGCACTTCTAATTCTATTACGAATCTAAAGCAGCAATGCAAGAGTGCCAGGCACTGTTACCAATACATGCAAGAATCCCACCCAGAGGTCTCCCCCAAATCTTACCTGCACAAATTTGGCTGGAACAAATACAAGGTATCTTTCTCCGTAACAAATGAATGAAACATCACACCATCTGTAAATTCGAAAGACAAAAAAAGAGTGTACACATTTTCTGATAAACTACAGCATTGGGTGTAAATTATAGTGAATTTATAGTAACTTAAGTATATATACGGTATACATGGTATATAGTAAATTATAGTGAATTTTAAATAAAATTAAAAAGAAATAAGAGTATGCTTCCTTTTTTTAACCTAGGCAGGTGCAGATTAAGGCGGCCTTACGTATGGGTCGTAACAGGATCTTCTTCAGAGGCAAAATGACAGAGGTACAAGAAACAAACATGTACTGTAGGGACTCACAAGCATGCAGGGTTGGGAGGAGAAACACAAAAGTGTTTAAAAACAAACCTGACTGATTCAACTTGAGATATAGTAGAGACTGACCGTTCTTGTTTTCCTCAACATTGCCTTAGGAAAATAGAATGCTCAATGGATCACCTTGGGGACTAGTTTAACTATACTATTCAAGCAGTCTCACTGTTCTTGAATTTTCTAAAAATTTCTACATGGGGGCTAATAACTTTCACCACCGCAAATTTCAATTAATTTTTTCTATGGCTTTCCAGAAGTTTCTAAGAAATTCCAAAACTTCCTCAATGAAGGCCCTTTCACTGAGGAAAGTTTCATTAATAGAAAGCTTTCATGATCATACACTTTCAGTTGGGTTGGATTAAAGGGAATATACATCATTTGCTTTTGCTGTAATTTTCAGAAATGGATCGATTTGGGGAGTTGGAAATATACATAGCAAATATAGTTACACTGACTTTTTTGAGGTTTTGGGTTCGAAAATGCTATAAAAACCAAGAAAAACAATCATTTTCCTGTAGTCTGGTTCCCTGACTCCATATACGAAGAAACAGAGCAGTTTACATACATTGGGGAATTGTAAGGTCAGGGAATCAGTCTAGCTGGCTTGTACCCGTTCATAGGTGTATAATCGATTGCAAACAAGTGCGATGGTCAATTGGGGTCAGTATTTGAAAAAAAGCCAGTTTTTTTCCAACGCTGGTCGGCCGACCAGCATTGGAAATTGATACAAAAATACCACTTTTCTTGAAAATGACAGTATACCAGGTGCCATGATTTTACAGGATGCTTTACACTGTCATTCACTAACAGTCCAGCAAGGTATTTCAAAATTATTTGGTAGTTTTATTTTTTGATGTTTGCAAATGTTGTATTTTCCCTTTAAGGAAAATGAACCATTTCTCACAGGGGGCTAATAATTCTGACCTCACCCGTATTTATGCAGTTATAGCATGTGTGGGCCGAGTATAAAATAACCTCTGACCTTACCTGTGCCATTGATCATATTGGCTTCGGGGGTTAGCCACCAGGATAACTTGTTGTTCCCGTTCCATCGCTCAATTAGGTTGATCCTAGAACGCACATCTTTTCCTGAGAACACTGTGAAATCGTCGTGGGCACTTCCGTTTTGCTAAATGAGGACGAGAAAGAGTGAAGACATTCTTATATTCAAAATTTGAGTTATGCTTTCTTAATTCTTAGTTGAATTATAAAGTTAGAGAGCCTAAATTTGATCCCGGCAAGATCTTACTGAATCCTGCCCTAAAGAAAGATCATGAAAGGATTAAAATGCCAGGCCCACTGAATTTTTAACCCTGACCCTCAAGGGTACTTTGGCTAGAAACCCTGCTGAACTCAGCAACATGCAACACTTGTCAAAATGACAAGCCTGCCCAGTGTAGCAAGATCTGTCAGAGTCTGTGGTCACCGAATGCAGCAGAATACAACTGTGGCATTGCTCAATAGAGTACGTCTTTTTGATCTGGGAAGTGTAGTGCAAACGAATGGAGTACGCACCTGTGTTTGGTTCACGGGCTAAATCATGCGCTAATGTCTTTTACACACATAATTGTGCGCGCGATGTATTCACTTGGGTACTCTATGGGATTAGCTCTCATTGTTTCAGAATTGGCACTAGTGTTGATGGCTCAATGCAGCAAGATTCCACAGACATTTACCGTTTACACCTAATGCACTGTGTTGCGCCTGGCAGGGTAAGAGTTCATTTGTTCATTTCAGGTCAATCCAGTCAGTAAGCAGGGGCATGTTTTCGCGACTGTGACCAGAGACAGGTTTCAGTTTTGGTCATTGGTTGAGCGTTTTTGTGACTTCTGTGGCTGGAGTGATGTCACTGTTCTGATTAAAACCGAACCAAGGCCAAGGGTCGGTTACGGAGTGCATTTCAAGATGGGGAAAGATAAATTCACGACATTTAACAAAACAGTGTTGGGAAAAAACAAGCTTATTAATGCTAATTTTTAATATGTACATCATAAGTTTGTATGTTTTAAGTACCAGTAATAAAATGTCTATACAACTTAAAAGCCACAAGGTATTATCCCGAATTTCGCCGGGACTGCCCGCAAACGCCTAAATTTTTTTGTTGTTGTCGAAATGTCCACCATGTTTGTACAGCATTTTTGTGCACGTGTGTAAACATGTTTCAATTTGACGTCACAAACTTGTTTCTGGTCGCGGTCTCGAAAACACGCCCCAGTTTGTGGCAGTTTCATTCTTTTGTTCTTGCCTACTTGAACTTTTGAAATTGCTGTGCAGCTTTTCGAATGTAAAAACCAGAACTAACTGACCAAGCTAAACTCACGTCAACAAGAAATCCAAATTCACCATTCGGCATTCCTGGAATTTTGATGAACTTGCTGAGTATCTTCAACACCTCGTCTTCGTATCCCCACAGAAGCTCCTTAACCGTCAACTCTTTGAACAGATGCTCATGCATTTCATCTAGAACGAGGGAAAGTGCTATCTTGATGTCATAGGGTAGCCAGTCTAGCAAATGAGTGGCAGTCTGCGAGGGGGGAAAAAGGACTAGGTAATGTCTAAATCGGTTTCAGTCTCTGGTTATTATACCTCAAACATATTCATGATCCAGAGCCAGATGCTCATTGGTCCACTCACCATCATGTGTCAGCCGCTAGTTTTGCTGTTTAGCAAGTGCGCATGCGAGAATTCCTTTCACAGGGTAATTAACACGTACATGCACCGGTATGTGTGGCAGATTATCACATGGGTTACAGGTGTGCTGGTCTACTACTCAGGCACTTTACAAAGCAATCATGGAACTGTCACATGGGGTAGTGCGCATGTGCCAACATCGCCCTAGCTACATGCAAAGATGGCGGCTCATGCACAGCAATGTTTTGCCAAGACAACTCCTGAGTATTACTTGATAAACTTTCGGTGAACAGATATAACATGGTTCTGTCCATGCAAGAGTCCATATGGACCATATTCACGAGGTAGCCACTTTTTGTCGTGTTCCCTGAATGTATTTCATAAATTGTTAACTGTTGAATGGGATGGCGCCAGACTTTTAATGTAGCCTTATTTTACTTTTATTATTTTTCATAATGTTTTATTACAAACTTTAAATTATTCATTTAAGCAGACTTAAATGTACTTGCTTTTTTTTCTTCGCAAGTTCCAAAATTTTAACATTTTACCTCACTTTCAATTCAACATGGCCGACTCGTGAATAAGGCTACACGCAGGAACTGTGCAAAGCCCCCCCCCCCCCTTCCAAAAAAACAACATTTGGTGTCTACAATGTAAATTTTGTCAAAGTTGTAAAATTGAGTGTTTGGAGAAAAAATGGTATTCGCAGTGTTAGTTACAATTTTTAATATGTTCACAAGAACCACTATCTACAATGTATATATTTCAACAAAAATTTCATCCAAATCTGAGATGGTGATCTGACAACTTCTAGGACAGTTGTCATGGAATGACCTGGGCTCAATTTGACGGCGCTGCTTAACAGTTAGCAGAATAGTTGTGTTTAGCATAGCAGAAAAATTTGCTAACCTTAAGCACTATTTCACAGCGTGGACGTGCTAACGGTCACACGTGCATGGAGATTTCTATTGTTACGTCACTGAGTTAAGCAAATGTTTCCTCTGAAGTAAGCGTGCATTTTGCTGTGCTTATGCTTACGGTCTCCATGAAATAGACAGAGGCTCTGTTAGCATAAAATCGTGTGCTTCGCAGCGCCGTGAAATTGGGCCCAGGCTACAGAGTGTCTGGAGGACTGATACTCACAGCATAAGGCACATTGACGGCAGTGAAGGAGTCCGATTCCAACCCAACTGACATATCAGGCTCAAAGAAGTAGCTATAGACAGGCTTGTTAGAGATTGTACTGTTGCTGTTCACTGTCAGGTTTTGTCGTTCCATTTCTAACCTATGTACCGAAAATTATATCAAGAAAGTTTCAGTAAGTCTGCAAAATGCAGATAGGTAATAAAATTTGCTTTTTTCCCCATATTCGGCATCTTTGTTTCAACTATCATTTTTGAATGGAGGTCAGCTACACATTCATAGTTTTCTTACCACTGTAAACATATAATCAGAGTTAACAGAAGACCACTTGAGAGAAATAAACAATTTTAAACAGCAAACAGAGCCCAAAGAATTACAAAAGAAAGTGTGGATCAAGACAAATGAAAATTCAAGAGAGGAGTTTACAAAACGAATTTTCAGGATTAAGTGAGCAGCAGAGACAGAGCTAAAATTGCCATGAAGATAAAATAAATGGAAAAGCCGAGTTGAAGTAATCACCTGCACAATAAAAGTCAATCACAAGTCACAATTACAAGCCAATGAATGATAACACGGTGCTAATATAGATACCAATATGTCTTAAAGCACTTGACATCAAATATTACTCCTGTTCATAAAGCCACGTCACCAGTTTTCTGACCAATCTGGTCTGTACCCTCACAGGTACCCATTTACACTCCTGGGTGACGGGCAGTGTTGTAGTTGAGTCCAGTCACAAGTCCCTTCACAAGTCCCTTCACAAGTCCAGCCACAAGTCAAGTCACAAGTCCAGTCACAAGTCCTGTCACAAGTCCTGTCACAAGTCCAGTCACAAGTCCTGTCACAAGTCCTGTCACAAGTCCGGTCACAAGTCCAGTCACAAGTCCAGCCACAAGTCAAGTCACAAGTCCAGTCACAAGTCCTGTCACAAGTCCTGTCACAAGTCCGGTCACAAGTCCAGTCACAAGTCCAGTCACAAGTCCAGTCACAAGTCCAGTCACAAGTCCAGTCACAAGTCCAGTCACAAGTCCTGTCACAAGTCCTGTCACAAGTCCTGTCACAAGTCCAGTCACAAGCCCAGTCACAAGCCCAGTCACAAGTCCTTTCACAAGTCCAGTCACAATTCTTTTGACAAGTCCAGTCACAAGTCCTGTCACAAGTCCTGTCACAAGTCCGGTCACAAGTCCAGTCACAAGTCCTGTCACAAGTCCAGTCACAAGTCCAGCCACAAGTCAAGTCACAAGTCCAGTCACAAGTCCTGTCACAAGTCCTGTCACAAGTCCGGTCACAAGTCCAGTCACAAGCCCAGTCACAAGCCCAGTCACAAGTCCTTTCACAAGTCCAGTCACAATTCTTTTGACAAGTCCAGTCACAAGTCCTTTCACAAGTACAGTCACAAGTCCAGTCACAAGTCCAGTCACAAGTCCAGTCACAAGTCCAGTCACAAGCCCAGTCTGAAGTCCAGTCATAAGTCCTTTCCTAACTCCAGTCACAATTCTTTTTCACAAGTCCAGTCACAAGTTCAGTCACAAGTCCTTTCACAAGTCCAGTGACAAGTCCAGTCACAAGTACAGTCACAAGTCCAGTCACAAGTCCAGTAACCAAGTCCTTTCACAAGTTCAGTCATAAGTTCAGTCACAAGTCCTATCACAAGTACAGTCACAATTCTTTTTCACAAGTCCAGTCACAAGTTCAGTCACAAGTCCAGTCACAAGTCCTGTCACAAGTTCAGTCACCGTCCAGTAACAAGTCCAGTCACAAGTACAGTCACAAGTACAGTCACAAGTACAGTCACAAGTCCAGTCACAAGTCCAGTCACAAGTCCAGTCACAAGTCCAGTCACAAGTCAAGTCACAAGTCAAGTCACAAGTCCAGTCACAAGTCCTATCACAAGTCCGGTCACAAGTCCTTTCACAACTCCAGTCACATAAAGGGGTGATAAGGAATCCTTTCATAACAGTTCATTTGAATACTGTAGCTAGTGACTTGACCTGAGACTAGTGGACTTGTGATGGACTTGTAGGGACTTGTGACGGACTCCACTACAACACAAACAATGGTGAAGAGTTGTAATATGTATTGCCCATGGACACACACACATCATGTTCCCAACTGGGAGCACACGAGTCGGAGATGGTCACTGGCCCTCCACGAGTCAAATCATAGATCACAAGTAAAAGGACAGGAGCACTGAGAAGGAATGCCTCCTTCATATGGTCATGGTTTCTTATACATGTAGCTACATGTATTCACTTGACTTGAGACAAAATAACAAATTCTGGCTATAACTTATAATGCACATTTGTTCAGTTAATACTGGTGAGTGGTGATCACTACACAAAATAAATACAAGTACTGTAGTGAACCCAAATCGCCTAGAGCATTAGAAAAAAATCTGAATAAAATTGACACGCTTTATGCTCAATAGATGACAACCCAATACACTTGGAATTCGAACCCTGGATTTCATTTCTATGGTTATTTACCTGTAGACATAGGGCCCTCTCTGGACCACGCTTGGTTTGGCACCCTTCACAACTTCCTCCGCATTTTCCACGTCGAAAAAGTAAAATCTCCAGTAGATGATGAAAGGTGGCTCCTCCCAAATGCTGTAGATCATGGATGAAGGCTCCAATACCATGATCTACACGTTTGAAATGAAAAAAATAAAATAAAATCAAGGATATTCAAGCCTACCGTAGGCAGTAGATACATGTAGTAGTGTTATGAGATTGAAGGTTTGCATGGTGGAAAGGTACTAAGACAAGATAAGTTTGCAGTATCACCATGTGAATAAATCTCTTTTGTGAGTATGTGTGGTTCTGAAACGAACCGGAGTTTTTGCATCCTTCTCACGCCTCACCGCACCCATCCTTATAACATCGCATCATCGTTGGAATCCCTCATTTTCCTGACGATGGGCAGAGCAGACTGTTCGAAACGTTGAGTCCCTCCGGTTCTTTTCAGAACCACACATACTCACAAAAGAGATTTATTCACATGGTGCTACCGCAAACTTATCTTGTCTTAACATGTAGTAGTGCTCATCACCACTAGCAGTAACACCATGGGATGGACACCTGTGCACAACATGTACCGGTAGTTCTATGGCGCAAAGTTTCACATTTATTTATTCATTTTATTCTGAATGCGCACTGAACGTACGCAACCCCTTGGTCCATGCTTTGCAGGTGCTCCAGGCACATGGTGGCAATGCATTCGAGGGGTGTGCATTTACAGGTAGTGCGGGAACCGGGTATCCGTTAAAGAAACCCAACCCCAAAAATCAAATTTTGGAAGTTGCTGTTCAAATTGTTCATAAAGGTCAGCACAATATTACTACCGCCTCGGTGCGTCCATGCAACAATATGTATACAAGTGTGTACCGTGACCTTTTAATATAGTTTTATGGTGAAAACTACAACTTTCAAAAGCTACTTAAAGTACGTATCTTATAGGCTTCTGTCTTAGTCTAGTCTGGGTATCACCCATTGTCCAATGGAGCCCCCTCTCCGTAACCAACGTCTGATATGTGACCAATGCAAATTTTGTGTGACCCCGCATACCAGTCAATCGAAGTCAACTTTAGAAACTGTGACGTCACTTCAACCAGAAATGTGGACTTAGCTGTCGATTGGTCAATTTGGCTGACAAGTTTTTGTAATACGACGATGGGTTACGGAAGACCGGAAAGAAGGCGCCTGCTGATTGGTCAGAATCTCGGGGTCTAGACGCAGTCTTGGTTTGCCTAATTAATTGTTGAATCTGCTCGCAGACTAGTCTAAGACAGGCCTATTGTTTAAATATTCAAATTGTTCCCTAATTTATGTAATGTACCTTTGTCATTAGTGAATGTTTGACGGCATTCCAAACGACTGGTATAAGAACAGCACCCGTTATCACCAGAAGCGTTCCTGTGACGACACAAACTAACTGCCCCTTGTAGCCCGTCATGGCAACACGCCTAGATCACTGTCAGATTCTGAATCAGTAAGAAAAGCAAGACAACAATTCTGGTTTATCACAGTGTAAATTAAAATGCCTTGAAAATTCCATCACTGTGTTCTCTTGTCCTGAAAGATGTGCAATTCCATCTTATGTGCAATTCCATCTTATGAACAATGTGCAGTGGCAATAATGAACCTTAGGCTTTAGCTTTTTTTGGCAAACAGTCCACCTGTTTTCGGCTTGGCACTGAACCAAGAAGTTTTTTAATGTGTTTACTCTACATTCGTAACCGACACTCGTGGCGTGCATTAAGACAAAATGAACCTCGTACTCTGCTCCATTTGCACGGTGCACTGATTTTACGCATGCTTTAAGTCTAACTTCACTGGTCCCCATACATATGGTGCTCCGATGGACGTATACACAAAACACGGTACCTCCATGGTACATTGTACATGTACCAGATGCCTGGTACGGGCAAAGGGTTTATGAATAGGAACGTAGAGAGTTGAATTGGCAAGTCAAAAGAGCTACCGGTATTTTCTATCTTTTTGACTGAGAAAAAAATGAATTTTGATTAACAAAAAATTCAATAAATTAATTTGACCCACCCACCCACATTTTGGAAAAAAATATCAAAATTTAAAAACATCGAAAATTTTGAAAGGCCCCTAACTGTCTTTCTCCTTTGTATTCTCTTTACCACATACATTGTAGCTAATCCACGATAGGTCTCCTTATGGACAAACAAAAAGTTTGCACTGCCCACAGGATCTGGAATACGACATGAAACAGCCGTCAATCTGTCCCAGCGACAACCATCATGAAGCAGACGGGTTGTTCAGAGCGCTCCAATAATTTTGCATGCAAATGACCTTGGGTACTTGTCCAGTTAACATGGTTAACGTTAAAATCCAATTTGTACACGTTCGTAAGGGTCTCCATTTTCGGCACATTTCTTCGAAATGACACATCCTGAACACGCGTGAAGGCAATAATAGATTTCTAGGTAAGTACTCAACCTGCATACGAAATTAAGTGCGGCGGATCGATTTCGCTAGACGCTACATGTAGGTTCGAAATGATACAAGAGCGTGACGTACGCCACGTTCACGGGTCTAGTGCTGGTACCGAAGTAAGTTCTAGTGCTCCACTCAGTAGAGCAGTGTTTCCCCTGGCTAATGAACTGAGCGAGGTGGTAACAAGATGATTGAAACGAAATTTATGCAGTCTGCAAACTGAAAAGAATGCAGCACTCACAGAAATGCGCGATGATTCCAAAAACACATCCAAACTGTGAGTTCTTGATACAAGGAGGTAAAGGAAAACGCTCATATATTTCATACACAAAATGATCTTTTTTCAATTGATATTTCCTTTATTGTAAATCTTCACAGCGAGGTGGTGATATGGGCAAAAATTGAGCGAGGTGGTCGCTGAAAGTAGCGAGGTGGGCCGCCTTACGTTTGAATGGGCAGGGGAAACACTGCAGTAGAGATGTTGGCACAATTGCAGAATACCCCGCCACTCGATCTATGCACCTCGTAGACGGTTATGGAGTCACGGTTGATTGTCCATTAATTAATAAACCTTCACAGCGCTGCATGTATGTACCGGTACTATGCGTCATGCTCCACTGCACCCCCACTCCATATCCGCGTAGCCGGCAACAGGGTAGTTGGTTTGGACTTAGAATTTGTTCAGCAATTCCCATTACTTTTGTGTTGCTTCGTTCTCAAGGGGACCCCCACTCAGTATCCGCGTAGCTGGCAATGGACTTGAATTGTTTCTTTTCCAGTGATTCCAACCTCGTACTGTTGTGGTGTTCCCGAACGTGGCGCACTTCGACGTTTACCCGACTTTCCTCGTGTACCGGTAGTGTTGCCAGACCTCTTCGGTGACAAACCTCAAATTTATGCAGTGAAATACTGGTACTTTGACCTATATCAATGCTTGCTATTTAACCTCTGTGAACAATTTCGGTTTCACGAAATTTAATCCGAAACTCGAAAACAATGGCATCCGGATATTGGGCACAAATTGGCAGTGTTCCTTAACGTGGCACACTTGAATAAATCTCGGAAAATTCCAAATTGACATTTTAAGAATTTCTGTGAAGTTGACAAATTCTGATAAACCATTATTATCTCTACTTACATACCCAACCAGAAGTCCGAGTAACTTGGACCCAACTTATCGCCTTTTTAACATTCGGACATGGTCTGGCGTCTATAGTAGGGTCAAAGCAAATCCTTATGCCAAGCAACACAATTCTGTCATTGACCCCAAAACCCAACATTTCCCCAACAAAAACATCAGATTTCACCCTCAAAACGGCCTCCAAATTACTATACGCCACCTGAGGTACAAGCTAGTAGACATCGATAGTTAAGATGGTTGTACTGAAGTTTACTTACGATCCGGATGAAAACTTTTGCTCTAGCTAGGCGCTACTAGGCGCCACGTTTGGGGCCACGCCACGTTAGGGTACATCAACATTAATAGGGCATTAGGGGTGTATTTCCGAGTGGCGGGGTATTCTGCAATTACTCCGAGATCCTTAGGCCCTACCTGTTTACACTGGGTGAATCTGCTTACACTTTTCGCAGTCATCCGGTAATCTTATTGTAATTTTTAAGAGGGTAGGCCTAGTCCATTTCAGTTAAAAAAAAAACTGCTTTCCAAAGGAGCCCTCACATTAAAATTACGTGAAAACAGAATGAAACAAAGAAAATAAAATTACAAAAATAGACAAGACTTTACAACAAAAAAACTGCACACAAAACATATGATACAGTAGGCCTACCGGTATGAATAAAAACTAACACTAGTAACACTAAGGCCAAAAAAAAAAACAAGTCGGTCTCTGGTCAGCGCGCCCGTCGATTTTAATCATGCGCGTCGATCTTTTTTTTTTCCAAAATGTTCCGCGGTACCTCCAACAGCGCCCTCTATTTCCGCACCTCCTCAATTTTTTTTTACCAAAGAGCACCAAGGAATGGGAAATTGCCACAAGGCAAATGATCGAAAGCACAAAGGAAAATTATGGAGGACACCAATGTACATGAGGACACCAAAAAAGCAAAATAGTACCCCACCTTGTCTGTACAATCCAAGCTTGAAGAAAGGGAAAAAAAGCCAAAAAAAAAAAAAAAAGCCGCGTGGCTGCGTCAATTCCGGAACTTTGGTCTGACCAGAGACCGAATATTTTTTTTTTTTGGCCTAACACAGAGAGCATAAAAACACTTATTGCACATTCATATCATACCTAGCTTGAGTAACTCCAGCTGACATGCTCATAGTCATAATTTAACTTTTATTTAAGCTACATGCGAATGAATATGAGCATGTCAGCTGGAGTTACTCAAGCTAATTCATACCATCAGACCACTAAAAAATTATTAGTATTACATGGAAATTGGAATCACATGTAATTCAATTCCGATCCAGACTGGCAGTACGGTATCAGTTCCTGACGCAGATGTTTTTTCACATTCCCACGTCACCCGTGCCCGTCCCTGCAGGCCGGCCCTCTGCATGCATAGTCTGCGCTTGTTTTTGTTGTGTAATTAACTTTTGTAAATTGTAGGCCTACATGTACACGTACCGATTTTGCTGCGCCGTTTGTGCTGATAGGACGCCACCTACCAGCACCGTGCATGCAGATTAATCAAACCTCGGTTTTATGTCCGTATTGGCGTCCTCTCTGGATCCAGAATCATCTCAGAGCCTTTAATGCTGACATCAAATACATTTACCTCAGTATTTCGAATCGTAGTATTAAATTTCACGTCTCCGAAGTTGAACAGTGACCGTTTTAAGGCAAACCCCATTTCCACCTGAAGTAAAATCTTTTGAAGCCCCAGCTAGACTACCACGAAACCGAGGTTTGTAAAACGCTTCAAATCATGACGAATCCCGCCGAGCTGAGTCCGCGGTTTATGTCCCTAATTATCGTAAAGGTAATTTACCTGCAATATAATATGCAAAACTTCTGACAATGGTAGCGTTATATAGCCAGGTGATGAAATGCCCAATGCTCAGCTGTTGAACCATGGAGGCTTGATGTCGAGTACCGGGTATATGGTTTTGGCGGAGGCATCTCACTGCTGAGTCGGGCGGGAAGATGTAACTTGTAGACAAAAAACTCAACATTGGATTGACCTGAAGGCGTCGATCCAGCAATAGAAAATGCTGAGGTGCTAGTAAAAGGGATATTATTACCATTTTTTTTAAAACTGGAATTTGATGATTGTAATTGGTAATCCTTACCTTTAGGACCCCGTTTCTATATAAGGTAAAAAGACTCACCAAAACAACTGTCTAAATGACACTCAAAAGTGACATTCTGATATTTCTTGAAACATTTGAACAGTTGGCAATGACACCTTCTTGAATATCAGCAGGGATTTGATTTATGAGGGGTTAAAGACGACGATGACAAACAGAATATATTGTAGCGCAATGCATTTTATGGAGGGCGCACTTTAGTTCTCTACTGGTAGCCAGCGGGGTGCGCGTGCACTCACCCAGGTTTATGGGGGCACCAGCCAATAGCGCCAGTGTATATAAGCGGCCATGCGCTCAGCTTCGCCCTCTTTCTGCTGTGGCCGGAACCCGTGCGCGGTCTCAGGAAAAGTTGCACTATTTTAATCTCCCACAATTAACCAATCACCAATCACCTATAGTCGCAGCGGAGGGAGCCTCATACTTTGTGTGAGTGTATTTAATTAATGATTCCTGCATTATAATCCAGATAATGATGTAATCTCTGAGTTTGTAAGGGAAGTGATTGAGTATAAGATCACGTAGGCGAGGCGCCTGGGTAGGCGAATAAAATAATCTTCCGAAAGACATATCTGGTGTCAGGTCCCCATCCTTCCACAGTCCCCCTAGTTAGTCCGCTTGGGTTGTGTGAGCGAGAGAGCGTGTAAGGGTGATCCTTTGGTAGTCTGCTGCGGGCCTGGCGGTAAATCTCCGCCGAAACGGATCTGCGTACCCGACCGTAGAGGCTAGGCCGTTCGCCGCTACTCGCCGGGGCAGTCGTCCGAGGCAGTACCGCTACAATATATTAAAAAGAGCAAAGTGGCAAACTGCAAAAAAAGTAGGACAGTCACATTTTCTTTGAAAGTGCTTTCAAAATTACAAATAACATGACTTTATCTGAAGAAAAAAGACTGATTTAACCTGCAAAAGTCACTTTGGTACTGGACAGTCATCTGCAAAAGTCAGTTTTGAACAGAAGTCGTAAAAATAGAGGTGTCCTAAAGATAACGGTATATATAAGGATTACCTTGTAATTAATGAGGATGATGTTAATGACACGGGATCTTCCCGAATTTGGATACAGGTGCCTAATTTGTATGAGGTCATGTTATGTTCTGGTAGCTGCGGCGGAAAACGCCTCGTCGGCGTCAAAATCTTGGAGCTCGAGCCATGGTCTGGTAAAAGGGGTGTATACCTCTTACACTTTTTGGTGCCCCCCCCCCCCCCCCTTCGTTTGAAAAGCGTTCCGCCGCCCCTGGGGTGATGAATTATTTGTTGCTCCAGTAATTTACAGAAGTAAGAGAAACTGGTCTGTAGTTGGCTGGGTTTGATTTGTCCTAGTCCCACTAACTGGGTCGTTAGACCTCCTTTTTCTGACATTTGGGATGTTACTGTCGTACTATAGCTAGTACGACAGTAACATCCCCAATGTCAAAAAAGGAGTTCTAGCGACCCAGTTAGTCAGGACTAGATTTGTCCCCATTTTGTATAGAATAATAGGTGTAATGAAACCCAAGGCCTCGCACACACTAGTCTTTCTGAAGGGAACCTAAGGATTTATGAAACATGTTGGTGAGTATTGGTGCAATATTGTGTAGCGGCATTCTTTAAGAATTCTTGCTAGAAGCAACTTCCGTGCCAGCAGCTTGATTGACTTTGTAAAAAGTAATATTAATTCGTTGATGACAATGAGTTTCAGTACACCCTCCTTATTGTGCACACTGATGTGGTCGATAGCTGGGGTAAAAATATAGTTTGGTGGTGGCATCGAGCTAGTATCCTCATCAGCAGTGAAAAGTGAATTGAACTGGTCGTTTAATGCTTCTGCCTTGTCACTAGATGATCTAGCAATCTTCTCATCTTTGGCGTTGATTGGAGGAATCCCAAAAGCATGTTGATTTTTGGCTTTAACAAATTTCCAGAAATGTTTTCCGAAATGGAATTTTAAACACAACCACCGCTTTAAAGTTCTGTCCACGGATCACTAAAAAAGGAGTGCGTTCTTTCAGCAAAACGAAAACATTTCACACACACCCCAATATGATTTGTTTTCGTTTTGCTGAAAGAACACTGACCTTTTTTGTGATCCGTGGACAGACGCTTAAAACGGTGGTTCTGTTTAAAATTCTGTAACTTGAAAAGTACATGAGTGATTTGAACGATTCTTGTACTAAAATAAAGCTTCTGGATTGAGTTTTCATATCCTAGATTTTGAAAGTGCTACATGCAGAAATTCACTAAAATAATGGTCCCAACATTTGGGTTTCGTGTTTTATTTACTCGCCCTGTATTATTAAATCAAAGTGAGACCACGACTTATAATTACACTCCTCCAAAGGGCTTTCCCCAAAGAATATTGTGCATGAAACTCAAACCATTGCGCCTTGTGCAGTCCATGAAAAATCCAGATATTTGGACATTTCATGGATTTTAGACTCGTGGAAAAGATCTTAGGGACAAAATTAACACAGCAGCCACAGATTCATTTCTGCATATATTTCCATAATCAATAACGTTACTAAGCCTCAGTACATACTATTCATGTAGCTAATCGTCATGTTTATACAAAAGTTTTTTTTTAATAAAGCAATAATCAATGTTGTGGAATGGAATCAGTTCAAATTTTGTTTGCTATTGGTTATATATTAATGAACGGGTGCAGGCCAGCTAGACTGGTTCCCTTACCTTACAATTTTCCGGCATCTGGAAATCGATCCATTTGATCTTTAGTGGAGTCAGGGAACCAGACTACTTGAACGTTTTTTGTTTTTCTTGGTTTTTCCAGCATTTTCGAAGAAAAAACTTCAAACATGTCAGTGTAACAAAATTTGATACTAACCCCTCAAATAGTTCATTTCTGACAATTACAGCAAAAGCCAATGATGTACATTCCCTTTAACTGGATAAACCTTAACAATGATTTTGATCGAATTTAGATATGCAGTGATAACATTTCTGATAGCAAAATTACATTGAACTTGTTACTTTCAATTACATTGAAATTATTTTGAATTATGATACAAAGTCTCCTGATTCGGAATTTTCAATTCCTTTGGTTATGATCATTTTTATTCTATAAATAGCACAATGACGTATTGGTTGAATATTACTAACAAATCTTTTTTTTTTGCTGCGTGAACTTTTTAAAATTAAACTCAACATGATAATGGTTTTGTGTGCATTTACACATGTAGTGATAAAATTGTTGTCAGCAAAATTACTTTTAAAATTTATTTAATAAAAAAAATTACGTTCCATATTTAGTAAGTTATGCTATTTTATAAATAGCACCATTATACGGGGTGGTAAAAAATTTTAAAAAAAAAGGCAAGAAAAAAACAAATGGAACGGCATACTTCCACTACCTTGAACACTCAAACCACCTGTACCAATTGATGGAGAATCCTTTTAAAAGAATTATGATACCAAAATATCCCGAATCGGTCCAGTTGTTTTTGCTGCAGAGCCTATTTTGTGAAGCACACTTCTTTCATGTGGGTTTTATTACATCACTATTCCTCTATCAATTATAATGTAAGTGCAACCCCCGGGCGCGGTTTAGTAATTCATCGTGACAAAAATCACCCCCACCTTGCTTCACAAAATAGGCTCTAGAACAAAAACTACTGGGCCAAATCAGGCGATCTTGGTTTCATTGTTCCTTTAAAAAGATTCTCCATGCATTGGTATAAGTGGTTTGAGTCTCGGGGAAGTGTGCCATTCCGTTTTTTTTTTTCGTTTTTTTTTTGACCACCCTGTATATAGGTTGGATTTAAGTCACACTTTGTGCAATTTTATTTCTAACATTCTTAATTCTGCAATAAAACTTTTTAAAAGTTCTCGTACAAAGCACACGCAAAAATATGCATCCACATAAAAATCCATTCTATTAAAGTATGCAGCATCAGTATTTCAGGGCCAAAAATGTAATTACATATAATATTTTGACACTGTGTCAGAAATTATTTCAGGGCCAAAAATGTAATTACATATAATATTTTGACACTGTGTCAGAAATTATGGACTAGTCTACATAGTTGACAAACCTGTCATTGTGCGTAGCCACTAGCCAGTCCCTATGGACCAACAAATAAATCTTCAGTCAACACTAAAACAAAAATCAATGATAATTAACATTATTTACAAATCAAATTTATTTCAATTAAAATTTGTATCATTTAACTTTACCTAAATTTTACGAGCTGCTTTTCCCACTTTTTTTTTTAATATACCAATAATGAAGGGTTCTCAAATTATGTTTATTAGGAGATTTATCACAATCCATGAAACTATAAACTACTGCAACTAGTCAGCAGACTGCAGAATTGTCAAGTCTGTGTCCAAGTTTTAAGCCATGTTCACCCGCAATGGACCTTTATCATGCTGCCACCATTTCAGTCATGTTCCCTGCATCCAATAACAGTACTGAGTGATACTGTTTTCTGTGCAAAAAGGAACCAAACTATTTTTCCTTCCAGTCTGGGTTTGGTTACATTGATTTGAATGGGAACAAAATCAAATGGCTGCAACATGATACCGGTCTATAGGTGGGGATGGGGTGACATCATCCGATGAAAAAATCGATTCATTTTGCACCCCACTTTTCATTGGTTGCCTATGTGTAACCATTCAGCACTCGAGACTCAAGAACCATTGAGTTTCAAGAACATAGGTCTGGGAGCTAGATAAGCCAACATAAAGAAATCCCGTTTGTCCGCACTTGCCTATACGAACTGTGGATACTGCTATGTGATTCTTGCTCCAAAAATGACGGTCTACAGAAACTAAAAGTTTAAGTCAAAGTGGCATTCCTGACATCACTGGTCATCTTCCTGCGCATGATACAGGCACTGTAATTTTTCTTGTCTAAAAATATGTCCCCATCATAGGCCACATTTTTGTCAGTCGGACACTGTTAGGATGCCGTTTTGGCCGTACAGACATGAAACTTGGGTAACATAACTTGGGTAACATAACTTTGGTCTGCTCTGCTGCTTTAATTTAATTTTTAAATTGAATTAAAGCTGCTAAAGTTCTTCAATAAATGTGATATAAATTTCTGTTTTTATAACCATAAAATGGTTAATAACTCCCCACAACCGCCGATCAAATGAAGGAACCCAATAGATCACCTGCTTCATACTCTATAGTGTCAGGCGTCCATCATACTCAGATAATGTGCTCCCTCGGTCTAAGGAGCCTAATCACTTTGTTCAGTAAGGTTTATACTGTTGTCGTACACGTGGACGGATTCGTATGTGGCGGCATTTGCTTCTTCCAACTGTGAGAAGGAGTGAAAGCAAGAAAACCACAGTGTCAGTACAATGTATGTAAATACAACTGTAATATTATAACATAACCGAAAAATATACCGTTAGGGAGACATTCCCATAGACTTGTGAACAAATAATAATCCAGCTTTCCTAACCCTAACCCCAATTTCCATTATCCTACCCCCACGACTTTCGGTATTTTTTTTACTAATTGGACTATGAGCAATCGATCTAGCCTATAGGGCTCGTTCAATGACGGCCATTTCTGTAGGAGAAGTGCAACTGCGTATTTTACACAATCTAGCACGCATTGCGCAGTGTTGAAAATGTTCCAAACAGGCGCTGTAAGATTTACACAACATAAATAAGTCAAACTCAAAACTGAAAAACGAGAGGTGAACAACTGTGATTTGAGAGAAGATTTAAACGACTGCAATGACAAACTTTGTCATAGTTCAACTGGTAGATTGTTTCAGAGTTTGAAGGTGGCGTGTGGGAATGAACGATCTCCCCGTGAGTGATACGTCCGGGGAACAGTCAACTGTGTTGTTGTAGCTAAACAAAGGTTGCATGATTGGCTTTATTGTTGGATGAGATCGGACATGTAGACTGGTGAGGATCCATGGATTGTTTTGAAAGCGATGCAGTCATTGATATACCCAGTGGAGTGATTTCTATTCAGCTGATAATGCATGGTACGTTTGGACAATGACACAAGACGAACGACGGCATTTTGAAGACGTTGGAGTCTGTCAAAGAGGTACCGAGGTACCGGTAGGCCGGGAGATACAGAAATCAAACCGTGATGTTGTGCATGCAAGTGCATGTACCAGTTGCTCCATAGCAGTAGGGGTGAGATATTTTAGAATGAAGCCCAGGTTGCAAAGATGAAAACGGGCAGATTTGAAAACCGATGAGACCTGGTGGGTTTGTGACAAGTGTGAGTCAATTACATGTAACATGTATGATTCCAAGGTTACAGCAACTTGTAGAAGGCTGCATGTGAGTATCCTCAATGCGAAGGCTGGGGATGTCAAACTTGGCGAGCTGCTGTTTCGAGCTAACTACCATGAACTCGGACTTCATGTCATTCAGTTTGTGACTGTATAAACGCATCTACGTTTTGATTTCGTCGATGCACGCTTCTAACTTCATAAAGGCAGACTGCACGTTGGCTTGCAATGGGTCAATGGAACAATGCAACTGAATGCCATCAGTGAAGCAATGATAGTGAATGTTGTGTTTTTGGATGATGTGGCCAACTGGAAGTATGTAAATAGTAGTAGTGGGCCCCTAACAGAGCTCTGGGGGACACCACAGTGGTCAAGGTGGGTAGGGGATGATAGTTCTCTATTAATGTTTCCAGATTGATGCCAATCCTTCAGGTAGGATGAACACCAGTCCAGTGCAGATCCTTGAACTCCAAGGGAGTACAGGCGATCTATCAGGATGGCATGATTGACTGTGTCGAATGCTGATGATAAGTCAAGGTGCACAAGAGCGTTCACTCTACCAAAGTCCATCTAAGAACATGGTTAGCAAGGTGAACAAGAAGGGTCTCTACACTGTGGCTCTGAAGATACGCAGATAAGAAGCTGTCGGTTAGATGATTTTCCAGCAGCAATTATGACGACTTTGAAAAGGCGATGTACTCCAGTATCTTCGAAATGTAGGGCAGATCTGAAACAGGGCGCTAGTTTTGGAGTTTGTTGGGGTCGAGAGCCGACTTCTTGAGCAATATTGCACATGGGAATGTTTGAGATGGGAGGGAATTAGCAACACCAGATTCCATGATGTTTGTGATTGCATGTATAATGGAACTAGCACACTGAAGCTAACGTAGGGATTGGGTCTAGATCACTACATGTCGCCGGTGATTTGAAAACTGATATACGAACTTCCTTGGGCGAAGCTGAGTGGAGAGTTTCAGTATTCGATGTCGGCTGGTAACTAGACGTGTCAGGCACAGGGGGAGGTACTGCATCCCGATCAGCAGAAAGCTTTTGGAACAAAGAAACGGCTGAAGCGATCAGTAGGAGAACTCACCGAGTCAGGAAAAGGTACGTGAGGCACCTTGGTCCTGTAATGTCAGGTACTGAGTGGACCATTCCTGATTTGGCCACAAGCCCCCCCCCCTTCACCTTTGCTTTGTGTACATTTCATTACAGTGTTTGTAACCATGGTCACCTAAGCAGCAGTCATGATCTGATTGGTCAATGCTAACTGTTTTATTGACAGACAGGAAGGGTCAATACCAGAAAAATTATTGAGAAAATAGAGTAAACCAGAAAAAACAAACTATTGTTCGCACTTGAAATTCCGAGCTAAGATGAAATTTGTAATCGAAACTGGCCACAAAAAAAAAAAATCCGCCATGAACAAGTCCAAAGCAACATCGGGGAGTCAGTCTGGCACGGTGGTCTGAACAGTCACAGACAGTTTAAAAAATCATTCCTCTCCCCTGCCTTGCCTTTTACACAGGCTAGTTACAAACAGTCAGATCATATTTGAAGCAAGCACTCTGACTAGTCAAATTCAGTCAACAGACAAAAGCAGGCAAGTGGTATAAACACAGCTGGCTTATCAATCACCTAGTCAAAGCATAGCTGTATCAAGCTACATAAACAGTCACAGCCAGGTAAGCCTGCTTTATGTAGGCTAGCTGTGAGCTCTTTATTTGCTTCCAAACAGTTACTTGATTGATTTTGACTGAAAGGACAACTTGGTAGAGAATGTATGTTTGCATGGGCGTGTTAAATAAATAAAATAAAAAAAAACAGAAATAAAGAAATACATAAATAAAATGTATAAAATATTCTGTAGAACACACAAAATGTCTTTGAGCTTCTAAGTACAGATATATTTCCAATTAACCCTAACAATCCCAATGCAATCAAACTCCAACACCAGGGTTTGTTGGAATCTGTTGGCGTGAGTACTGCACTAGTAAACTGATTATGCTTTACATGGGGTCAGGCATACCACCATAATCAGAGTCCAACAGTTTGGGTGTGGAGTTTACCACATGGTGTTGGAAATTGCAGGAATGAGGAAGGTTCCTAGTAATGCACTCAAGGGGTTAGGGTTAAAGCAAAGAATTATTTATTTGCTTAAAAAAATGTCCTATAGCCCCTATGGCACCTATACACGGATGTTGCGGGCTGTACAGAACGTTTCTTGGCAACAACATCTCCCTAACTCTGTTCTGTATGGTGCCCTTCCCCCTATCTCCACCACCATCAGACAGCGTCGCCTTCGGCTAGCCGGTCACGTTTATCGACATAATGAGCCAGCTAGTCAAGTTCTCCTCTGGAATCCTGAAGCCCCTCGACGAAAAGGTCGTCCCAACATGACCCTGAAAACATCCATCGAGCTAGAAACTGGTCTGAGTGGTCCATCTCTTTCCAACACTATGCTCGACAGGGACAGTTGGGCCCAACTCATCAAGTCATCATGAAAATGAATGAATGAAGAAGAAGAAGATAGCCCCTTAGCATGGTGTGCCATGACAGTGGGCAGTCTTTGTTCCTGTGTGATAAACTTGATTAGGTACTTAACTGAATTTAAATAACAAAACCTGCCCGCTGTCATGGCGCACCGTGAAAAGAATGATTGCCAAGAAGATACTTACAATGCTCTTCTTTGGTTTTGTAACCAGCTTACAGAGTCCAACAAGAAGGAATGCTATTATAAGGCTAGCTCCGATAACAATGCTAAGGTACTGCATCACCAGTGCTATAATCCCGGTCAGCTTGATGCCTGTGTCATAGTAACCTATGACTTCTTCATTTGCAGTGACATCCTGGAATAGAAAAAATCAGACTTGAAATGTCCGCCATCTATCTGACTATAGGGAATGTAGCTCCAAAGATTTCACTGGGCCTGTAAGCCCTCAAAAAGCGGGGCAAGTGTAGAACACCACTCCTCACTCTAATACATTGAGAAACACGTTGGCATAATATTAAAATGTTTTGCATTGTAATTTGTAAAGATGTCTCTTTTCCCAATACGAATCACAACAAAGTGTGAGTGAATTATACAGGGTGAGTAAAAGAAAATGAAACCCAAAATGTCGGGACCATTGTTTTAGTGAAGTTCTGCATGTAGCACTTTCAAAATCTAGGATAGGAAAGCCCAATTCATAAGCTTTCTTTTAGTACAAGAATCATTCAAATCACTCATGTAATTTTCAAGTTATGGAATCTTAAACACAACCACCGTTTTAAAGTTCTGTCCACGGATCACAGAAAGGTGCAGCAAAACGAAAACAAATCACGTAGGGATGTGCGTGAATTGTTTTCGTTTTGCTGAAAGAACGCACACTTTTTTGTGATTTGTGGACAGAATTTTAAAACGGCGGTTGTGTTTAAAACTCCGTAACTTAAAAAGTACATGAGCGATTTGAATGATTCTTGTACTAAAAGAAAGCTTCTAACTTGGGCTTCCATATCCTAGATTTTGAAAGTGCTACATGCAGAACTTCACTACAACAATAATCCCAACATTTGGGTTTCGTTTTTTTTTACATGCTCTGTACATCAAAGGTATGCCCCTTTCACACTATTCCACAACAATTTGGCAAAGCTTGAAAAACACCCTCACCCTCCAGAATATTTTGTCCACTGAACCTGTCCTAATACAACAAAATGCAACACTCGATGTGTGATGCTACAAAGTGTGAGGAGATCTAAAACTTAGGTCAAGATTCCTACTGCCAAGCTGCCTCAGAAACTGTGGACCTTGACAACTGTAATAGGATCTAACAGTGAAATTGTCCGATGTAGATGTAGATGGTACTTCCCATAGAGCCTGAAAGTTGGTGGCGCACTTCCGCGACCCTTGTATATCATATTTGGTTCATTTCTTAAGACAATCACCCTCGGAAAAGACCTTTGTAAAATTGTTGCTGAAATGGAAACTGATAAAACACCTGCCTTGAAAGAGAAATATCAGGCCAAATTCTGTCGTCTCACTTCCGAGAATCTAAAATACATGCGGACTTGTGCAACTTATGAATGCATACCCCTTAAATCCGTGGTCATTGGGTTGAATTGAAAGTAAAATAGAAGACCAAGATGTCTTTTAAAGTTTTCAAATTATGTGAATAAACTGGAAGGACTCATTAGTATATAACCCTCCTGCTATTTAAACAGTCACAGAGAGTTAAATTTTCATCCACTTCCTCTGCTATACTTTTAACACAGGCTAGTCACCAGCAGTCAGATCATATGTCAGGTAAGCACTAGTCAAACTCAGTCAACAGACCATGAACAGACAAAGCAGGCAAGTTGTTGGCGCACCTGGCTTATCAATTACCCACAGCCAAAGCAAAGCTGTATCGAGTTACACAAACAGTCACTGCCAGTCAACCTTGCTTTAATGCAGGCTGGGGATTCTTAACTGTTGAAAACAGTCACTTGATTGATTTTGACTGAAGGGACTACTTGGCACAGAATGTATGTTTTCATACGAAGTTTAATAAAAAAAATCTTCATCCACTTCCTCTGCTATACTTTTAACACAGTCTAGTCACCAGCAGTCAGATCATATGTCAGGCAAGCACTGTGACTAGTCAAACTCAGTCAACAGACCATGAACAGACAAAGCAGGCAAGTTGTGGGCGCAGCTGGCTTATCAATTACCCACAGCCAAAGCAAAGCTGTACATGCTGTTATCGAGTTACACAAACAGTCACTGCCAGTCAATCCTGCTTTAATGCAGGCTGGGGATTCTTAACTGTTGAAAACAGTCACTTGATTGATTTTGACTGTAGAGGACTACTTGGCACAGAATGTATGTTTTCATAGGAAGTTTAATAAAAAAAAATCTAAAACTGACCGTTTTTTGGGAGGCTCCTGTGATCTGCTCAAGCCAATGTTAGGCATGTTTGTTCTCACACAAGTAGACAATGTGAAAACAAAGGTGCACAGAGCAAGGAGACCTAAGAACGACAATGCTGGATATGGAAAGTCGTAAAATAAAATTCGTTTTTACTCATTTTCCAGCGATTTTTCAGTTTACATAAATTGAGTTTCTAGTAACAATTTGACATTTTCTTGTTCAAGGATGATTTTCTTCAAAAAATAAATGCAACAAAAAGTATTGCAATTTTAAGAATTTTTGCACATTACTTTTCCTATTACATGTAAGGGTTCCATAAGCGCGCCACCAGGGGTGAACTTTCAGGCTCTATTGTCTCTGAACTGGCAGTTTATGCATAAGTGTTGCAGACCAAAATGCAACAAGGTCCACACAGACTTTAGCACCTGTTGCACTGTGTTGCACCTGTCAGGGTTAGGGTCAAGTGTTTTCCTACCTCTTCAAACCAGAATCCCGGCATGTACATGGTCTTCACATTTGCTGTTTGCCTGTAAACATAAGTAATAAATTCAATATCAACAACCAGGGCTGGTTTGTGTCAACTAAATCTAATTGCCCTCTGTAACTTCGAATTTGGATTTCAAATCAAAATATCTTCCAGTGATGACTAAAGGTCGGTGGTTCTAGTCCCGTCCGAGCAAGTTTGGCAATTTTTTCTAACATAGATCTCTCTCCTAGGGCGCAAGAAAGTTACAACTGTGGGTTCAACGCCACCAGGTGCGTGTGCGCGCAGTGTGCAAAGTGTTCTAAACACGTGCGTGTTGCCCAAAATTGCTTCGAAATATGGCGCAGCCTGATGCACGTCAAGAAAATTTGATGCCCCAAATGCCAATGCATATGGCAATCTGTAGGAAGTGACATCTTTTGAGAGAGATCTATAGACGGATCCGGGCACGTGATCGCTGAACATCACAAGGCTCCGTTAGCCGTTAAGCGGAGAAGCCATGGTGCATGCTTTTTGTAAAAAGCAACTGCCCCATGACGGATTACCTGAAATGAACCTAGCACAATGCTTTCGCCATTTAAAGGGGCCATCGTGACAGAATTGTAAGCGTGCTTGAATTTGTCTTTACAGTGTTTATATAAGTGATGTGATCAAGCTAAATGAGTCGTCTGTCGGGAATTTTCATTTGCAGATTCAGGCCAAATATAGGGCCACTTCATCACATCACTTCATCACATCTCTTGGTGTTCCGACTTCCATAATTTTTGAACTAAAGATGGTATCAGCATGCGGTTTTCACAGCAGTAATCGGTAATGCTGAGATTGTGCTCTTTTCAAATTTGTAAAAAAAAAAAAAAATTGACCAGGGTCGACAAACGACTCATTTAGCTTGATCGCATCACACATGTTATTCCTTTCTCTGTAGGAAAAAAACCCAGAATGTTGAAATTAATGGTCTTACTCTGAAGTGGTTAGGGCAGTTCCAGGTTGTCGGACATACATTTCGAACAATTCAACAAGGTGCATTATAAAAGTTATCAGCATAAAGTGGATTACAATTCTGAAAAACATGTACCACTTATAGTAGTTACAACAATGATTTAACCAGTTCCCACTGGAGTACTTGGTTACATGGTATACATGCAAAAGTTTTCCGAAAGTCAGATCGGATGACTGATAAACCCACAACGGGAGAGGCCGGAAATATCTGTCGGCGACCCACTCTCAGCGAGCGAGGCTGGAAAGATCAGGGTATGCAACCCGCAGAATGCGCAGATCATGCCTGAGCCCATCTGGCATTGACATTCGTGAAAAATATTCCCGCGCCTGGGTCTGGTCATTGTCAAAATAAACCCGGCATGAAAAAAAAAATTTACTCGGCTTTTATTTGTAGTGGAATCAGCTCGAATCACCATGGTGTTGGTTGATTTTTTGTGAGTACTTTTATTCATTAATTTGTCAGTAAAAGTAACGCTGTCAATAAAATATGGATAATTAGATCAAAATTATACACTTTTCATTCGTAGCATTTGGAATTTTTTTTTTTTTATTTCTTTAGGGTTTTTAATTACGTTAAATTGTCCTTATAAATACTTCAACATATTTCACAAAATTTGCTTCTATGGTTGCGAATAACAATGAAGCAATGTCTGCAAATTTGGAGGTCATCAATGGTATGGAGTCGACCTTCTCAAATCAAAGTCTGAATTTGGATAGCATCAGAGGAGTTTATGAGGCAGACAGACTCACCATACACCTGAGACTTGCTGTACATATTGGTTAATCTGCAACCTCATACGGAGTTTGAAAGGCATACCTAGAATCTGCACACAAATGAGTGAAGAAAATTCAAATTCAAAATATAATTCAAAATAATAAAGCGGCAGAGTTACTGAAACCGATCAGTCCTTCAGTTTCCAGAATATTTCTGATATTTGTTCCTGGAATTACTGGATTTATGTCAGGGGAACTGTGAATTACAAGTGAAATTACAAGTGCTAATTCAATAATATTTTATGATTATAACTGAGTATTTTTTTTTCTAAAGCCTTCTTGTACAAACACAAGCTCATCACATAATCATACAAGGTAACCCGTCACCACACTTCGATTAAAGTCAAGAAAATAAGAGGGGCACTTAATAAAAATGTGAATAGAGTACCGAAGTGTGACGTCATTTAGAATCAGAAAGTGTGGTGCAAACGAATGGAGTACGCGTGCGTGTTGGTTCATGGGCTGAATCACCCGATGTCTTTCACACACATTTTGTGCGTGTGACGTATTCACTTCGGTACTCCATACTGCTTAAAATAGAAGACTCGTCTAAGTCACATAATTAAGTGGGGTGCTTACTTTCCGCGACTGAAGTCGTTTTAATTGTGAATACGGCCCCAGCACAGTAAGTATAAAAGACCCACGAAAAAAACGTTAAAACAAAATGTGACAAAATTTAAAAAAAAAACGTCTCCACCTTATTACTGAAAATTAAAGGTGCCTATCAAAAACACATACCGGTACATAATAATCAAACTCACCGGCTCTATGGAAAAATAGTTTCTGTGTCTGTCTGCATTTGGGCTGAGACCGTCGACGCCACCTGCTAAACTGGGATCACCGTCAAAGAAATGGGGGTTGGATAAGGCAATCGGTGTCTCTGCAAATTAGAATAGATTTGAAATACATTGGTGCGAGATGGTCAATACTGTATCCGCTCCGTTTACAAGTACCCCCTCACCGGCAAAGAAAGTACAGTTGGGGGTGACCGAACGACCCCATCTAAATCAATTTGTGCCACTTTCCGTAAGTTGATACTATAAACAGCAGTATTGCCAGTATTATACACATGTATGATCGTGCAAAAAACAATTAGTTATGAATAGGCATGATAGGTGAAGAAACACTTTTGTTATTCATATTATAATGTTCTTTTCATTATTGGTAACAAACTCTCCAAATCATCATAATAAAAACATATCTTCTGGAATTGCGACCCTCAATTGAAGTCGGATTTGAACAGGTGCCATGTCTTGTCCTGTCATTATTAGGCCTAACAATGTAGAAAGTGGCACAAATTGATTTTTGAGTGTTTGTGTTCAACGGACCATATCTCTGGTTTGGCAAAAGCAAACTTGATAAAACAAATGGCATTTGAAAGCTGAATATCCCAGGTTATATATATAAGCATCATGAAACATTGTTTCAATATTCCAAGGACAACAGAGCCTGTTTCTGCTTGCAGCATTTTTTTTTGAGACAGGCTGTACAGGATTATACGCACTGCCATGGATTGACCAATCAGGTTTGAGGATACAAGTTTGCTTGAAGATAAATGTACACGCACTCGCTACCTTACAAGTTAAGATTATCTGCAAGATATCAAAATGTATGCATTCTCGGCAGCGTGAGGATTATATGAGCAAAAATTCAAATGATCTAAATTTGGAGGTCGTACCAAATCTGCATGGATCAACTCTCATGAGTCCTCTGGGCACATCATCAGTGGTGATATTAAAGCCTTTATTGAGGGGGTAGGTACTGCTGTTCTGGTAGGCCCAGGGGGCTACACCAAACATCTTCAGGGGAACACCTTCGAGTACGTCGTCTTGGACGAAGGTGTAAGGCATGGACCTGGGAAGAAAGATCAAAGTGAATTAAAACGAGTTTTTTTACCTTCTTTTTCCCATTATAAGAACTGCCAACCACAGGTGGTGGCTAAATAAAAAAGAAACAAGTTAACCCTGAAAGGGCCGGGTTATTTTAACCATCTCACAGCCGGGGCAAAAATGTTTTCAAGGGTATTGCAAATAAAGTTGGGGGGCGGATTTTTCTCGACTTTTGAATGAATTTTGCAAAGTGCTTTTCACAAAGTATCTTTCCAGTCCAATTTTCGAGTCAAATCGTATCCAATACTGAACTCTACAAAACAATGCCCTTGGCAATACATGTCCACATAATCATGAGAGTATCGATGTCTGTAAACTTACTGGTCTTGTCCCAAGACTGAGTTTGGGATTGTGTTCCTCTAATGCAGCCTGTTCCTCCCTGTTCAGCCAAGCTGCTGCAGTCTTGGGCATTTTGGCACTCAGACCCAAGAAATCTGAGCATACAATTACCTCACGCAGCCACTATTGCAACAGAATGGTCACCTGAACGCGATTTTGGTTTGCAGATTGCGTCGCACAGTGCGCATACATGTATGTGCCTCTGGATTCCCAGGGGCCACACGCACACTACAAATTGGGCAAATATTGTGCTCAGGCCAAAAATTCGGCAGATCGAGTTGGTCAGTTGAACATTAACACCACTGTTTACACCTCTCTCATAGCTACGCAATCATTAGAGTTACGAATGGAAGCCACCAGTTGGATCATTGAAACATCCATTTGGTCTCCTAGTTTATTTTGCTTGTAGAGTTCAATGCCCTGTCTTTTAAAGTTACATTACTACTAACTTAGTTCACAACTTTAGGCCAGAGATTCAGCCAAGCTAGCCCACCTTCCTAAATAACACAAAGTCCTTGACCAAAACGGTTCGTTACAGGCAATTCCATGAAAATGTCATCCTGAGGGTCATAAATTGTTTTTTATAATAAATGGTCATGTTGGCTACCATTTTAAAGCTGATGAGGTACAGAATCCATAAAATTCACTCAATTTTACATCAAATGCAAAATTGACATGAAAATGGGTGAAAAAAACACTTATTGGTTAAAAAGCAAAATCTTAATAAATTGCAATGTTAGGTATATTTTGCCAATTAATCAAGTATATTTTGACAAATTTTCTTGAATTTTGTCATTTTTAGGCAAAAAGCCGCGTTTTATTGCCTAAAATTACAAAATTGAATTTGTTTTGCATTTTACCCAAAATGCTGCCGCTTTTAAATTTTACCAAAACTATGTGTCAGTCTGTTACCGAAATATCTAAAAAATATTTTTTCAGTCTTTTATATTAGTTTGAACAACTTTCTTTTTTGGATTCTCTGTAGTCATCAAGCTATGAACAAAATTGCCAAAGAAAATTCATGTACCATTTTGTTATTTTTGAAATAAACCATGGTAACAGACTGACGCCTGTGGTAACAGACTGATGGTAACAGACTGACAAATGTACAAGTCTATCGCTGTAGATGCAAGGCATTGTGGGTAAAGTGCATAGTTAAATCAGTGGCCCAGGTGAAGGTATTCTGACCACTACTTAAGCCATGTGCTTTGGCCTATTTTCCTGAAATTTGGCAATGTTGGTTGGTAGGTACTTAATAAGTTGACCTCATTTGGTTGTGCTACTGCCACCACAAGAGGGCGCTTTACTCTTTATGGTTTTGCAATTTTTGGTCAAAAAACAGTATTTTTTGCATAATTTGTACATTTTGCATTCAAATGCTTCTAAATTTGGTACAAATATTGTTTGAGTCAATATAGAAGCATTCAACCTTCGCCATCCTACGACAACACTAGAGGGCGCTATATCAACTTTTTGGGCCAAAATCATCATTTTTGTTGATTTTGGCCCAAAATTTGAATTTTTCGTCCAAAATCACACCTGTACTTACACAATGGTTTCAAACACCTAAAACCTCAGTTTAAGCAGGAAAAGAACATGACAAAGAGGTCATACATGTAGGTTTACTGTACATGTTGCACATGAACTCGGAGCATGTCAGTCTGTTACCACCGATGTCAGTCTGTTACCGAGCATATTTTTGATCATGCCATTTTACCCGGCAGTGATTTACGAAAACCACCACCATTTATAAACAGCAAGGACTTAGCTTTATAATATATTTAGTGTACCATTATTTTTTATTTGCCAACTTCACAGAGGTTTTCCACTTAACACTCAGTTTGGAAAGAAAACTGCAGGTTATAGGGGCACTTGCTATGAACAAAAATGTACTTGAGTTTGGATCTTACTACTTACTACAACAACCTTACAGAAGGGATAAATTTTGAAAACCCCTCCCAAAATGTCAGTCTGTTACCCATGGAATTGCCCTTACAACACATCTATCATGCATGAGATGTGCTCAGACTATCTGGAGTTCAAGTGCCAAAAAAATTCAACGACTGGATTTGATTCATCTTGTTGATATCGCCTTCTACTGCAAGTCACACGTTGTTGCACTTGCCAAACGCTGGCTACATAAAGGGGAACATGACTGAAATACAGTCTAGGGCCAAGACAATCAACGTACCTGCACAGATCTGGATGGAATAGATATAAGACTTCATCCTCCTCAATGCCCATGTGATACATCATACCATCTGAAATGAACAAGAAATGAATTGACACAAAAGCAAGGAAATTTCAGGCTCACACGCAGCAACATTCTTCTGAGCCAAACTGTGGAGAAGGTATCCAAAATGTACTAAATAAGCACGGAACATCAGCAACATTACACGTACACTCCTTTACAGTGACCTGATAGATACTTACAAGCACGTTCATTCAAGCACTGGACTTAACCTTTAGTTCAACTGGCTTAAAGAGGTTGTGGAATGCTCGAAGACATTTCCGTCATTTTTCGGGTATATGTAGCCTAAGGTGTGATGAAATAAAAACGACTATTGTTTCTGTCATAAAATGAGTACAAAAGGTACTTTTGAGAGCTGTTTTTCAAGCCCTGTCATGCCTGTTCCGACCCGAACGTGCAATTTGTGTAAAAGTCGTCGTTGCGGGCAGCAAACAAAACACAGTAAAATCGTGACGTAATAAACAGGACTCGTTTATGCTACTACACAAATTGCACGTTCGGGTCGAAACAGGACCTGAAAAATAGCTCTCAAAAGTACCCTTTGTACTCATTTCATGACAGAAACAATAGTCGTTTTTATTTCATCACACCTTAGGCTACATATACCCAAAAAATGACGGAAATGTTTTCGAGCATTCCACAACCTCTTTAAATATACATAGCATCATTGCTTTGTGTGTATTTTTGTTCCCTTGAAGCAAGAGTGCATAACAACTTGTTGAAGGTTCAGCTTAGGCCAAAAAAAAAGTCTCAGATTTCTGGTATGCGCGCGCGTCGCTGTAGCCATGCGCGTCGGCAAAATGAAAAAGTTTTTTTTTCAATGAAAGATGATGTCTCAAAACCGCCAAACTCACTGGTTTGACTGGAATCCTGCTGCTGCACAATTTTAACGTGTTTTTAGATTGGGTTATGGTGGAGAATAAGCTTAATGTGGCCTCTCTGGACTCCCATATATTTGCACTAAGTTTAGTCGGGCACTATTTGCAGTCATCAGCCTACATTTGAAGCAAAAAAATCAGTTAAAAAAGAAAAAAAAAAAAAAAGCGTCGCCGCACCACTTTTTGGGCAAGCTCCATACCAGAAACCGGAGACTTTTTTTTTTTTGGCCTTAGTGGATATTATACATTGTACATTCAGGATAAAACAGAGGAGATGTATGTACACAGAGGAGATGCATGTACACAATGTTGGGGTCCCGTAACTGGATTCCATTGCTAACGCAAGCGCGCACACTTTCTTAAACCACCTTCAATGATTGTTTTCTTCCCAATGATACCATCTCAGGTGGAATCATCTCAAAGGGTATTTAATGTACCAGTCCTTCTGGTTCTGCGCCAACAACTCTTGAGTGGGATTTCTCATCAATTTTAGTTTCATTCTCCGGGAAGTGTGGCCTAGCGGTAAGGGTTCGTGACTCATGATCAGAGGGTCAAGGGTTCGAATCCAGCTGCCGGCCATACATGTACGTTGTGTCCTTGGGCAAGGCACTTAATCCCCACTTGCCTCTCTCCACCCAGGAGTACAAATGGGTACCAGCATTAGCTGGGAAGTAACCTGCGATGGACTGGCATCCTGTCCAAGGGGAATAGAAATATTCTCAGTCGTTTCATGCCAAGGAAACCATAGATAAACGCCGGCCGGATGGGCCATATAGGCTCGGGACAGACTTTACTTTTTTAGTTTTATTCCCAATAATAAAACATGACCAATTTCCCCACCTGTTCCGTTAATCATATTAGCGGACTCTGATTTCCAGTATGTCAGGTTGCTTCTGCCGTTAAACTTGTCGATGTGGTTGACCAACAACTTATCCTCCACACCAGTGAAGGATGTGTAGACGCCCAAATCTGTGTTGTTTCTCTGTAATGAACAGTTAAGGGTCAAAAACCAAGAAGTAACACGTGCACAACATTCACCAAGAAGAACTTGAGGACTCCCGATAAGAGCAAAAGTTTAAGGCAACAGCCAATAGAATAAAGTCAGTGACATAAAATGAATACACTGTGGACGTGTGACGTCACGCGGAATTGTCTCCAAAAGAACACGTTTCTAGTCTAGTCTGCCATTTTTACAGTACATCTGGTATGGAGTATTTAGGTGAACATTTTCTAGTTGAGATTTCTCAGACATAAGGAATAAATAAGACTGGAAAATGGGACAATGCTTCGTAACCGACCGTTTTCATCATTCAGAACGTGGCGGATGTGGTTATTTTATTTTCCAACGGATAACAAATTGATGAAAAAGTGGGTACCGTGCTTTCGCTACGTACAAGTCTAGGTTTGTGTAGTGACCTCGGTAACGCGCGATGACCTCGGTGGCGTATGACGTAACCACTTCTACAGCGTTTTAGAAAGTTTCACTGCACAGAAGCCACTAAACCTGGATCACTGTGCATACATGTACATGAGCCATGGCTAATGGCTGAAGTAGTCATTGTGGCCTCTTCATTCATCATGAGTGGAACCGGGTGCCATCACATACATTCTGTTCAGACAATCATGTTTTACTATACACTCGAGGGCAATGCTTTGTGTTTCCCTTTGTCCATGTAATATAACACTCTCCTATTGACTAAGCACACAAACTTACTACACAGGACCGTTTCCAACAAAAGACCCCACTATTGTTCTCCCTTTGTGTGTGTTAGCGTCCAGGTGGGGGGGGGGGTAGGTAATGTAAAACACGTACACACTCAGTTGTAAATGGGTTTAGAATTTGCTACCTGGATACAGTGTATGTGCCTCTCAATCCATGCAAACTATAACCTGACCCAAGATGTGACATTTGACAACAAAAAAACATGCGTGCTTACCCCCAGTAGGAATCCAAACTGAGTCTCAAACCCCGGTGGGAGAGGGAACTCCGGTACGTTTTGGTGGACCCACTCAAAGAGTGGCTCATCGTAGCCCCAGACCAACTGGTTGACAGTCAGCGGCATGAAGGGTTTCTCCCCAACCAGGTCCATGAAGGCCGCGAGTCCGAACTGAATGAGAGATCCTGCATCTCTCACAAAATAGGCCGTAGACTGAGGCCAAGGTGGAAAGAAACAGAAGGATGAGCTTTGATACAAACAATTCTAATTCTGGGACTGTTGTTTGGTTGTTCATGTTTGTTGAGGTGTTGGGGAAAGGAGGGGATCTCAGTAGGACTCTAACACTCATTCAGACTGGCATTCAAGAGTTAATTTCAGAATAATTTTGGTTCAGCACAATTGTGCTGAACCAAAATTATTCTGAAATTTGAAGCAAGTACATGAGTTTGGAAAATTGGTTATTTGACAGAAAAACATAGCAAATTTGAAAAAAAGGCACATTTGTGTGAAAAAGCTTTCATCTTTTCAAACAAACCCTTGCGACAGGTTGGCTAGTCTAGGTGCTGAGGTTCATTGGGAATTTGGAGCAGCTTAAGATGCTCCTTGTACATGTATTGCTTCTGAACCGAATGTGTATTAGTCTGAAGCACATTACATGTATTTCACGTACTTGCACAATACATTTGTAGGCAATCCGGCTCTTGAGTAAAAACATCATACGTGCGCACCACTGATTTCAAGCGCACAAAATCAATGAACATAATTATCTTGTTGGGGCTGAACTTTTCCATTTTCTACATCCCCACTATAAACTAGAATGGCAAAGCCGCCATGGCTTGCTGTCCAAGGCAGGAAGGGAGGCTGAAGGTAGGGTTGGGGATGGGCATGATGGAAGGGGATCAGGATTCTTGTTGATGTGCCTAGGTGTAAGGGTCAGGTTTTAAATGTCAACATAAAAAGTCAACAGATTACCTAATAAATACATGTGTATATAGGGTATAGGTTAGCCGCCACTGTATTATGGGGGAGTTTTCCATTGTTAGGGTAATTAGGGCCCAGTTGTGGATTTTTGCAGCCCCAACAGTGTCTTCTGCTCCCCATAATTGTATTACCATGGGAAAACTCTTGTGTAGTCGCCACAAATGCAGAACAAGAATGGGTATACCTGTACATGTAGACACAGCACCATCACCACCTCCCCCAAACCTTACCCCATCCCAAAACCTTACCCCATCCCAAACCCGCCCCCTCCCCCACCCAACCCCCTACCCACACCCATTCCATCCTCCCCTAACCATCCCCACCCTATCACCTACACATCCCAACCCCACCCAAACTCCAATCCTATCTCCTTCCCCCTCCCCTGACCCGTACCCTCCCCTACCCCAACCCCCTACACCCACCTACCCTATCTTCCCCTATCTGTCCTAACCCACCCTACACATCCCCATCCTAACCCTTATTCGAATTCCAATATCCCGCCCACCCCATTCCCCCACCCATAATCCCCACCTGACCCCATGCAACCCTACTATGATCCCTATATACTGCCCCCTCCCCTTATCCAACCCCTACAACAACCCATCCCTACCCATCCCTACATATCCCCAACCCAACCCCTACTCCGATCCTATATCCCGCCCCCTGCCCAACCCCCTCCTAACCCAACCCCTACATCCATGCCTATCCTCTCCCTACCTGTCTCCCCCTACCTGTCTCTCCCTACCTGTTCCCACCCCACCCCTACAAATCACCACCCCATCCAAACCCAGTATTCCAGCCCCTCTCCCCACCCCACCCCACCCCAACCCACCCCGCCCCACCCATCCTAGCTCCCCTACTCATCCTACTCACACAAACCCTAACTCCAACCCTATCCCCCAACCCACCCCACCCTCTCCTACCCCATCCCTACTCCAACCCCATAAACTAAAAGATCAAACCAGAAGCTCATGCACATCCCCAAAATGCATAGTGTACATGTACATGTTATACCGGTATACATACATGTACATGTACATGTACATGTATGTATACCGGTATACACACACGTACATGTTATACCAGTATACATGTACATGTAACAATTAAAAACTTTAACATTTCCTTGAATTAAAGTTCCTCAATAAAATCATAAAATTTACTGCAATGATATGAACCTAACTGAAGTTATAGAGATGATGCATGACAACTGCATTTAATTTTTTTCCCCAAGTTAACTAGAACCAAAAACTTCAACATTTTTATCTGAACGCGGACTGCCGGACAGACGGGCGCCCGGACAGACGGACGGAAATTGGTATTACAGAGGCTTGCATCTGCTTCGCAGCTCGCCAAAAAGTTCATAAATACCGGTACAGGCAACATTTCACTTCCAATAACAATTCATTTTTTCGAGGATTTCGTAAGTTGCTATCTACAGTGTCTTTTATAAATTGGTAGGATCGACAGGGCGCAGCCTTGGCAATTAAGTTTGTTTGATGATGTTATTGTTCCATTCGAGCACGTTCCGTGGGATTACTTGTAGGTAACGAATGCAAACACATCATGTGACTGGACCTGGGTTTTTCTTTTCAATTGTTTGCCCAGATTTTAGGCAAGCAAGCCATATCTCAATACCATTATCAGCAGTTACAAAATGAAAATTGTTTACTCTGTCAGCATTGTTTGCAAATGCTCATCAGCAGATGTATCAATGATTGAATTTTAAATAAATAAACCTTGACCTGAGTGTAGTGAAAAGCAAGCCCCCCAGAAAAATATCTTGAAATGTTCAGCTGTCTGAAGAAGATGGGGTTGAGCTGAGGGGAAGAAAAACAATTAAGTACAAAAGCCTTGCTTTTCAATTTATTTATCAGATGTGCAGGGTTGTGAAAAATCATGAATTTAAAAAAAAAAAAAAAAATCAATCTGATTTTTTAAAGTGAAATCAAATGTTTTTATTATTGAAAAAAGTTGGAATAAAAAACAAATGAAATGATATTATTTTAACAAGCTTGTCTTTGTATAAGTTATAAAAAAGTCTTAAATTCAACATGCATTAAATTACTCAACACCCATCTTTAAAACTCTGGATACTGTGCATTGCATTTTTACCTTTTCAAGCTCCCAATAGTGCAAACACTGTGTGAACGATTTATATAACTTAGGCCAAAAAAAAAAGGCTCTGGTTTCTGGTATGCGCGCGCGTCGCCAAAGCCATGCACGTCGGCAAAATGAAAAAGTTTTTTTTTTCAATGAAAGATGATGTCTCAAAACCGCCAAACTCACTGGTTTGCTGGAATCCTGCTGCTGCACAATTTTAACATGTTTTTAGCTAGGGTTATGGTCGAGAATAAGCTTAATGTGGCCTCTCTGGACTCCCATATATTTGCACTAAGTTTAGTCGGGCACCATTTGCAGTCATCAGCCGACATTTGAAGCAAAAAAATCAGGTAAAAAAAAAAAAAAAGCTGCGTCGCCGCACCACTTTTTGGGCAAGCTCCATACCAGAAACCGGAGACTTTTTTTGGGGGGGGCCTTAATGCTCTGATCAAAGATTCTGTTGACAATGCACTTACATTTTGGTCGTACCGGTACGTGACATTTTCATGCTCTTGCATACAGATACTGATCTTGGTCAAGGCCAGTATAAAAGTACAGGTACATAACACATTTACATAACTCAATCATTACACAATGACAAATCTGAAGGCTCAGGGTCAACAGCAATAGATTTGGACTTTGCCTCAAAATGAAGCAACAATGTAATTCGGTTACCGAAATAGATACCATATCTAAGTAAATTCTCTCTCTCTCTCTCTCTCTCTCTCTCTCAAAAACAAATTTGGATATTTTTTTCAAATTTGAAAATATCTTGTAAGTTATTTTCATATGTTCTCTGCTGCAAAAGGGTAACCAACTCAGATTTGGCATTAGACTTACATGATGTACCGGTAGTATATAGTACATGTACATGTAACAGAATTACATACATGTACATGTGTACATATAATGCTCTTCCCTGGCGATCAACTGGTTTTCATAAATTATGTGCTATGGTTGCACAAAGACATGGCGTTCACAGTGCAAACCTTAATTACTTTCCTGCTATTTAAACAGTCACAGACAGTCAAAATTTGCATCCACTTCCCCTGCTATACTTTTAACACAGGCTAGTCACCAGCAGTCAGATCATTTGTCAAGCAAGCACCGTGACTAGTCACAGTGGTGGGCACGTGTGGTCTAGCGGTGGAGTACAGGATTCATGATCATGAGGTTGTGGGTTCAAGCCCCATCGTGGACATGCGTGTTGTGCCCTTGAGTAAGGAGCTTTACCTCAATTACTCCTCTCAACCCAGGTGTTAAATGGGTACCGGCAATATTCAATGCTGGGAAGGTAACAGGAGGAGATGTGGCGATCCCCCCCCCTCCCCCCCCCCCCCCCCCCCACAGCAGCATGTCTGGCCCAATCACTAATGAAAGAGAGATGGGCACTCTGTTCCTGTGAACTCAGGTTCGTTCCCTTAACTTTTTAGTGACTAGGCAAACTCAGTCAACAGACCACGAACAGACAAAGCAGGCTATTACACGTAGTTGTGGTCCCAGGTGGCTTAGCAATCACTGGGAGTCAAAGCATACATGTAGCTATATCGAGTTACAAACAGTCACGGCCAGTCAATCCTACTTTATGTAGGCTGGGAATTCTTTAAGTGTTGACAACAGTCACTTGATTGATTTTGACTGAAAGGATTTCTTCGCACAGAATGTACATGTAGGTTTGCATAGGAGGGTTACATTTTCAAATCAGAGTTTTTGCAGTCATATTGCTACCCATATTCTTATTATGGATGGAAAACCAATGTCATTTTCACTTTTCATGTCTTGATCAGTTGATTACCCAAATGAATCCAGGCTATAGACCTGCAGTAATATTCTCACATTTTTAGGGGGGGGGAGGGGTGCTGACACTCCTTTCAATGCCTTTTCTATATCCACTCAAATGTAACACACAATTTACAACAAAACTTGCAAAGGACAAAGTCACTCACAAATTTATGCAAATTAAAAAAAAAAAGGTTTTAAGGGGTTTCCCACAAACAGTGTTTGCATTCTTTACCTTTCATGTGACCCAATTACCGATGACCCAATTACCGATAACCAACAGTACCGATATACATGTACATGTGCTTGCTTTTTTTTTTACATTGACCAGACTAATCCACTCTCACACTGTGCATAGAGGTGAAGTGAAAACCGTTGAACTATTGAAAGTACATGCACAATGGATATAGCAGAGAGTCTGACAAACATGTGATCAACCAAATGAGGTTTTTGCCCTGAATTCACCGACGTTTCGCCCCGACGCAAAATTCCCATCTTATAAAACATGTGATGCTTGTATAATCAGGAAAGTGATTTCACAGTGATGAAAGTTACATGTGATGCTTGTATAATCAGAAAAGTGATTTCACAGTGATGAGAGTTACATGTGATCCTTGTATAATCAGGAAAGTGATTTCACAGTGGTGAGAGTTGCACAAGCAGGAAATTCAACACAGATCACCGTCTGATATACCGGTACAGTACACACAGACATTGTCGGTTCAAGTGGTTACATTTGATATGAATGTTGTATTACCTAGATACATGTTGTTGATTTTGCACATAAGTGGGGAAAAGGGGGACAGATAGTAATTTTTTTTGTCATGGACAATAGGGCTCGTTCAATGACGGCCATCTCTGTAGGAGAACTGCAGCTGCGTATTTTACGCAATCAACCGTTGCGCAGTGTTGAAAATGTTCCTAACGCGCGCGCTTGTTGCTCGAAATTTGTTTGAAATACGACGCAGCCAATGTGCGTTATGCAAGTTGACGCTCAAAATGCCGATGCACGTGGATGGTCTTTAGGAAATGACGTCATTTGAACGAGACCTATTACTGGAGTGGGATACATGCTTTGCTTATCAAACATACTGGTACCAAACAACTGTTTGTTGCATGTTAATGATTTTGATTTTGTGCTCATTATTTGCACTAGTAAAACAGAGCGCACCAGGGCTTGTGAAATTTAACTAAAGATGGACCTTGTGCTAACCAGCTAGCTGTACACCTGAACACATCAAAAGGCACATGATGAGGGCCACTACTAATGTGGGCCCACATTTAATTTGGTGTGTACACATTTGTACACGTCTTCTCTAAAACACAAATCAGGGTGAGTAAAAAAAAAAAAAAATCCTGAATGGCAGGACCAATTTTTGAATGAAGTTTTGCCTGTAGCTCTTTCAAAATCTAGGATATGAAAGCCCAGTCATTAAAGGTATAGTCCATCATTTGCAGCCATCCGAAAAGTAACTGGCGTAATTATTGTTGAAAAACAAACTTGGTTGAAAGATAGTAAGGGGACTAAACTCCCTGTGAAATTATTCTTTCTGGGAAGCTGTCATTTTGAAGTAATCAACGAAAGAAGGCATTTCCAACGGTGATTCTTAAGAAGCACCGTAGGAAAATTTAAATTAGTAGTTCGTTTTGTTATTCAGCGCAGCGCGCACAAGTATTGGAACGACGCACACGCGCGCGCGGTTGTTATAATTCGTCGGATCAGTGCGCGACGTCGCGTATAGCTGCAATTCAAAACAATTCAAAACATGATTCAGTAACTTTGGATTTGAAATTGAGATCTTAGAATGCTGTTTTTCTCGGAATGTACAGCTGAAGCTTAGCTGAAACTTCATCAGGTTAGTTGCTCAGTATCCTTCATTAGATTTTGAACTCTTTTGTTGCTTCAAACGAACAAAATGCACAAATTACAAATGATGGACTATAGCTTTAAGCTTTCTTTTAGTACAAAAATCACTCACTCACTCATGTACTTTTCAAGTTACTGCATTTTTAACAGAACCACCGTTTTAAAGTTCTGTCCACGGATCACAAAAAAGGTACTTGTTCTTTCAGCAAAACGAAAACAATTCACATGCATCCCTATGACTGAGAATTGTTTTCGTTTTGCGGAAAGAACACTTACTTTGTTTGTGATCTGTGGACAGAACTTCTGTTCTGTTCAAAATGCCGTAACTTGAAGAGTACATGAGTGATCTGAATGATTCTTGTACTGAAAGAAAGCTTAATGACTGGGCTTTCATATCCTAGAATTTGAAAGTGCTACATGCAAAACTTCATTCAAAAAATGGTCCTCCCATTTGGGATGTTTTTGTTTTTTTTACTCACCCTATAGAATACACTCAGATGAATGCAAAAAACATGTTTACTTCCCTTACCCAAAATGGCATGTTGGTCGTCATGAAAGTGTCATTCTCATCCCCAACTGACTGTGATCGGTCAAAGACATAGGTGTAGGGCTGAATACTGGTCACAGTACTGTTGGGGTTGAAGGTTATGTTTTCTCTCGGCAGTGACATTCTGCATTGACAGTAACATAACAATTGTAAGAGTTACAAATCAACATACTATTAGTTATCTTGTGAGCGCGAGTGGAACACGGAATAATGTAGTGCGTCTGTGTCCCACATACCACGAGGCCAAAGGCCGAGTGGTATGTGGGACACAGACACACTACATTTTCCGTGTTCCACGAGTGCGAGCGCGATAACGAATTTATCTTCAAGCAAACTTGACGCGCAGTACAGTTGGAATGAGCACGCTTTACACAGACATTCAGCAGTTTAGCGTATGAAGCTAGAATGGCGCTCACATCTTGGAACAGCGGAATACGCAGAGTGCGGTATGGACCGTGGCAGTGCGGTATGGTTATATGTAGCACGGCTTGTTGCCATGGATCGACCAATCAGGATCGAGGATGCAAGTTTGCTTGAAGATAAATGTAATTGAGGTGATTTTGAGATTTTGTACAAAAACAATCTGTAGCACAGAATATGGGGTCACACATTGAATGTGTACATGTATATTATAGAGAAGATGGAATTTGTTTGGAATTGATGGAACCGTTAGTCAATGAAAGTGGCAAACACAAAACCCAAACTGTCTGAACTCTAATCATTTGGGACAAATTGTCTGAAGTTCAAACAAACAAAACCAGCAGAAAACCAGCTTGAATGTTGATGCACTTCCCTGACATTTCAACTGAAAGCACCATAACCGGTAACTCATACACTATAATACTCCTTAACTGTGAACTACCAAATAAACATTTACCAGTACCTATTGAAGAGACCAGCCAAAGTCTTCACTAATGAGTGGTGAAAAGAATTAAGCTTATCTTTTCAAAGATATCACTGAACAGATTTTATGGTGGCTGTACATATACACAGCCATCAAATCCTTCAAGTCTACATGCATTTATAAGGATTATCGAACTAATCAACTAGGGAAGGGTTCGACCATAACCTTTTTTTCACTAGCCAGCCAGGCTACTGAAACAGACTCTTAACTACTAGCCCGCATGCATTCTCACTAGCCCGCATGTTTTTTCTTTTATAGAGTGTTTCATAAACAGCAATGTGCGTACATGTAAAACGTATAGAGCCTGAAAGTTGACCCCTAGTGGCACGCTTCAGGGCCCCTCCAAAAAAGAGAAAATATTAACATGTAAAATGTCAGAGCTTTTGAAATTAGCTTTGGTACATTGATTTCTCAAGTAAATCACCCTCGTAATTTCATGGAAACTGAAAAATCGCATGGCGTGAAAGAGAAGTACCGGTAATGTGCCAAAAATTGACCTTCCACTTCTGAAAACTTCCATGTGGACTCGTGGAACTCGATCACTCCTTCAAGCATGAAAATTTATGCAATAATTTGGTGGTGGTCATTTGGGTAAAAATTTAAACTCAAACAGGAGACTCAAATGTCTTTTGGGACGGACATTTTGTTTTTCAATAAACTTGAAGGATTTATTTTCATTTACTAACAAATCTTAAATGACCGTTATAAGAACTGTGGTAAAACGTGACCCAAATGAGCCTGAATAAATCTAGAATCCATCAGATGTACAATGTACATAGGATTAGGTAAATCTTCAATTCGTTATCATTTTTGTTCTCATGCAAGTATGCGGTGTGAAAACTGAAAATGCACAGTAGGCCTATATCACAGGATACATGGACTACAGATCGTACAAATACACGGCTTTAAAAAAAAAAATTCTTGAACTACCCTGTACCCTAGGTTTTTTATTTAACCAGAGGTTGTTGACTGAAATAAGGCACAGAATGATCAATTATTTAGTTACATGTAGGCAAGGTTTGAAGGTTTACTTTTGACGAGATAAAAAAACCAAAAACCAAAAACCACATTTGCTGGCTACCTTCGAGTAATGAATGACCTTTTGAAAAAGTTAACAAACAAAAAAATAATAACGGACATAATGCTCTATTCACTGCTTGTGCTCTGTATCAACAAACTCTTCCTTTTTCCTGGAGGCAATTTGGATAAGCAATATTGCTAGAAAAATACAGGTACATGTACATGTGTACTTTTCTTCAGGTTGCTCTGTTCATGTACAATGCAAGTTGCGTCTTATTGTATACTAAGAAGAAAACTGTCACCAGTGGTTAGTTAGCTAGGGTTCGTGACTCATGATCAGAGGGTCAGGGGTTCGAATTGAGCTGCTGGTCATATGTTGTGTCCTTGGACAAGCCACTCACCCCCACTTGTCTCTCTCCGGCACCCAGGAGTACAAATGGGTACCGGCATTAGCTGGGGAGTAATCGATGGACTTAATATCCCATTCAGGGGGAGTAGAAATATTCTCAGTGGTTTCATGCAACTGAAACCGGAGATAAACGCCAGCCCGATGGGCCACATTGGCTTGTGACAGATTTTACTTTTACTACAGACTTGTAGTATTGTAGATGACCCATACACAAGTAACTCCAACTCCAACAGTTGTATTAAAGGGAATGTACATCATTGGCTTTTGCTGTAATTTTCAGAAATGAACTATTTGAGGGGTTAGTTTAATACCGGTAGATCAAATATTGTTACACTAGCTGACACGTTTGAAGTTTTGTGTTCGAAAATGCTGGAAAAACCAAGAAAAACTAAAATCTTCAAGTAGTCTGGTTCCCTGACTCCACTAAAGATGATATGGATCAATTTATGCCAGAAAATTGTAAGGTAAGGTAACCAGTCTAGCTGGCCTGCACCTGTTCATAAACATGTAAGTACCAATAGCAAACAAAATTTGGACCGAAAAAAAATGGTAAATTTCGAGCAGTAGTTGAAAAATAGTTAGGTTATTCAACGGTGGTCGACCGACCACCGTTGGAAATTTATACAAAAAAAAACACTTTTCTTGAAAATGACTTCACACAATTAAGGTGCCATAATTTTACAGGATGCTTTAGACTGTCTTTTACTAACATCCTAGTAAGGTATTTCGTAGAAATGTGGTAGTCTTGTTTTTCGATGTTTGCAAATGTTGTATATTCCCTTTAAACTGAACATGACAAAGTCATTCCTTGTTATGGTTATTGTTCTTCCCCTGTTGCATCTACATGTGAATTGACTAGTGACCAATTGAGACCAGAGATGTGATGATTGACTTATGATGGACCCGACAAGAACACTGCCAATTTCTCAACCTTGGCATACATTGTAGATTATCATGATTAAAATGCTAACACATGTACCCGGTACATTGTAGATCTCTACATGTACCAAGTCTATGTAAACCCATCTTCTAGTGTTATACCGTCCCGTGAGTATACACTACTGTATTTGTGCTGGCACATGTACATGTATGCATACTAGAACTTACTTGTAAGAATAAGGTCCAATTTCGACTACACTGGGTTTGGCTCCTTGGAGCACCTCATCTGGGTTTTGAAGATCGAAGAAGTAAAACCTGGTGTAAATGGGCAGCGTGGGATCTTGCCACTCTGGGTAGATAGGGGACTTTGGACTGATGACCATCATCTGAAGAGGGACAATAAAGGTCAAAAGGAACATTATTCCTTTCTCCTAATGTACTAATAATTTTCTCCCTCCATGTCCCTGAAACAAAATTTCTCCGCCACAATTATTATTATTTCTTTCTGGTAATGAAACCAAGGATTCCTCAAAAGTACCCTAGGCACTGTAGCTCGAAAGCCTGAAGAAACCTGTAGAGAGAAGACAATGAGAAGAAATTACAGTTTTAGAGGTGGGAGGAAAAGCCCAGAAGAATATTCTGAGGAAAACCCGCGGAATCAGGTAGGGACTGAAAACCCAATCCACATGTTGGCCCGGGCAGGATTCGAACCCGGGTCACAGCAGTGAAAGGTGAGGAAAGTACCGCTACGCCAACCTGACTCCCCCTTAGGAGTTATGGGGCCATTCATCATTGGTGTCCTTGGGAATGTACTGGTTCACATCCTAATCAGCTAAGCCACCAGTTGATGGGGTCAATTGGAGGGCAGCTGGTTATATCTTTATATCAAAGGATGAGCTTGATATTTTACCATTTATCATTGGTGTCCTTGGGGATGTACTGGTTCACATCCTAATCAGCTAAGCCACCAGTTGATGGGGTCAATTGGAGGGCAGCTGGTTATATCTTTATATCAAAGGATTAGCTTGATATTTTACCATTTATCATTGGTGTCCTTGGGAATTTACTGGTTCACATCCTAATCAGCTAAGCCACCAGTTGATGGGGTCAATTGGAGGGCAGCTGGTTATATCTTTATATCAAAGGATGAGCTTGATATTTTACCATTTATCATTGGTGTCCTTGGGGATGTACTGGTTCACATCCTAATCAGCTAAGCCACCAGTTGATGGGGTCAATTGGAGGGCAGCTGGTTATATCTTTATATCAAAGGATGAGCTTGATATTTTACCATTTATCATTGGTGTCCTTGGGGATGTACTGGTTCACATCCTAATCAGCTAAGCCACCAGTTGATGGGGTCAATTGGAGGGCAGCTGGTTATATCTTTATATCAAAGGATGAGCTTGATATTTTACCATTTATCATTGGTGTCCTTGGGAATGTACTGGTTCACATCCTAATCAGCTAAGCCACCAGTTGATGGGGTCAATTGGAGGGCAGCTGGTTATATCTTTATATCAAAGGATTAGCTTGATATTTTACCATTTATCATTGGTGTCCTTGGGAATGTACTGGTTCACATCCTAATCAGCTAAGCCACCAGTTGATGGGGTCAATTGGAGGGCAGCTGGTTATATCTTTATATCAAAGGATGAGCTTGATATTTTACCATTTATCATTGGTGTCCTTGGGGATGTACTGGTTCACATCCTAATCAGCTAAGCCACCAGTTGATGGGGTCAATTGGAGGGCAGCTGGTTATATCTTTATATCAAAGGATTAGCTTGATATTTTACCATTTATCATTGGTGTCCTTGGGAATGTACTGGTTCACATCCTAATCAGCTAAGCCACCAGTTGATGGGGTCAATTGGAGGGCAGCTGGTTATATCTTTATATCAAAGGATGAGCTTGATATTTTACCATTTATCATTGGTGTCCTTGGGGATGTACTGGTTCACATCCTAATCAGCTAAGCCACCAGTTGATGGGGTCAATTGGAGGGCAGCTGGTTATATCTTTATATCAAAGGATTAGCTTGATATTTTACCATTTATCATTGGTGTCCTTGGGAATGTACTGGTTCACATCCTAATCAGCTAAGCCACCAGTTGATGGGGTCAATTGGAGGGCAGCTGGTTATATCTTTATATCAAAGGATGAGCTTGATATTTTACCATTTGTCATTGGTGTCTTTGGGGATTTACTGGTTCACATCCTAATCAGCTAAGCCACCAGTTGATGGGGTCAATTGGAGGGCAGCTGGTTATATCTTTATATCAAAGGATGAGCTTGATATTTTACCATTTATCATGGGTGTCCTTGGGAATTTACTGGTTCACATCCTAATCAGCTAAGCCACCAGTTGATGGGGTCAATTGGAGGGCAGCTGGTTATATCTTTATATCAAAGGATGAGCTTGATATTTTACCATTTATCATTGGTGTCCTTGGGAATGTACTGGTTCACATCCTAATCAGCTAAGCCACCAGTTGATGGGGTCAATTGGAGGGCAGCTGGTTATATCTTTATATCAAAGGATGAGCTTGATATTTTACCATTTATCATTGGTGTCCTTGGGAATTTACTGGTTCACATCCTAATCAGCTAAGCCACCAGTTGATGGGGTCAATTGGAGGGCAGCTGGTTATATCTTTATATCAAAGGATGAGCTTGATATTTTACCATTTATCATTGGTGTCCTTGGGGATGTACTGGTTCACATCCTAATCAGCTAAGCCACCAGTTGATGGGGTCAATTGGAGGGCAGCTGGTTATATCTTTATATCAAAGGATGAGCTTGATATTTTACCATTTATCATTGGTGTCCTTGGGGATGTACTGGTTCACATCCTAATCAGCTAAGCCACCAGTTGATGGGGTCAATTGGAGGGCAGCTGGTTATATCTTTATATCAAAGGATGAGCTTGATATTTTACCATTTATCATTGGTGTCCTTGGGGATGTACTGGTTCACATCCTAATCAGCTAAGCCACCAGTTGATGGGGTCAATTGGAGGGCAGCTGGTTATATCTTTATATCAAAGGATGAGCTTGATATTTTACCATTTATCATTGGTGTCCTTGGGAATGTACTGGTTCACATCCTAATCAGCTAAGCCACCAGTTGATGGGGTCAATTGGAGGGCAGCTGGTTATATCTTTATATCAAAGGATGAGCTTGATATTTTACCATTTATCATTGGTGTCCTTGGGAATTTACTGGTTCACATCCTAATCAGCTAAGCCACCAGTTGATGGGGTCAATTGGAGGGCAGCTGGTTATATCTTTATATCAAAGGATTAGCTTGATATTTTACCATTTATCATTGGTGTCTTTGGGAATTTACTGGTTCACATCCTAATCAGCTAAGCCAGCAGTTGATTAGCCTTGGTCAAGGCGCTAGTTGTTATTCATCCCGGCCGTAGCGCGGTAAACGATATCCTTGCTAGCGCGTGCATGTGGTGCATTAAAAATACAGCGCGAACAGCGACCTCACGCTGCCACCATTTCTATGCAAATCAGTTGGACCCAATATAGCGCCTTGGTTCAATCGTCGGCAAAAGCTTATGTTTTTCTTTATTTTGCGCTGGATTTCTAGCGCACCACCTCGTATGCGAATACAGATCAGTGTAGGCGGGGCTAATATGTGGAGTGTCCAATCACAACTTGGTAAATCCGGACGTCATCAAATTATTTGCGGCTATTCGCCTTTTGCGGACGTGACAGGAACCACAGTTTTTGTGCATTGGTGCCGTGTGCAGAGACACACAACGTGTAGGTGTGTATGGATTATGTACGGTGCCATGTTTCACTATGCAAGTATCCACGCAACGATCGACCAATAAGAAAACGACATTTAAGGTCAGCTAAGGCTATTAACATAATGAGCACCACCCCTAAAACCTCACATGGACGATTGAACCAAGGCGCTAGATTGGGTCCAACTGATTTGCATTAAAATAGTGGCCGCGTGAGGTCGCTGTTTGCGCTGTACATTTGTATTTTAATGCACTGCATGCATAGCGCTAGCGAAGATATCGTTTACTGCGCTACGGCCGGATGAATAATATCTAGCGCCTTGACCAAGGCTACCAGTTGATGGGGTCAATTGGAGGGCATCTGGTTATATCTTTATATCAAACAGTGTTCTCCACAGACTTTTTTCTTGGGAGGGCGGCATGACGTCATCGGACGGGCGCCCGTCGGTATGACGTCATCGAGCGGATAGTGATTTTTTTTTTACCACATTTTTATCAATGGGACCTAAATCGAAGCTCCTGATTGGTCCACTTCCGTTTTAAGTTCGCATAATTATACATCAGAGAACTGGCATATGGCAAAAAAAATCGGAAAATGGGCCGAACAAAAATACCTTTCCGAAATCTGGGCCACGCTGCCATTTCACACATGTACAGTACATGCATATACAATACACTTCATGCCCAATTTCCGGACACCTGCTTTATTTTCGATTCAAACAAAATTTTACGATGAAAAAAAAATGGTCAGTGTTTTCATTGCGTAAAATGCCTGAATTACGGCATAGAGTAATGGAGTCATCAATAAAGGAGTTCACTTCTTACTTGAGAAAGTCGAGGGAAAAGTCTGAAAGACAAGGGCACCGTTCATGGTGCTTCAATCATGTCCATGATTCAACCACACAACTCCACTACTCCACTTGCATTCATACGTGGGGAAAAATCAGGCATTATCGTCTTTCTCTTCCAACAAATGCCAGTGAAATGTTTCGCTAATGCTCTCTTCGCTATCCTCGAGATAATCATCATGATTTTAAAGCATTGCATTTTGTACAACTAAATCTGAAACCTCCGAAAATCGCACAACGTAATGATTTTATCCACTGGATCATTCACAAGGCTACCCGTTCCCGACCGGCCATGTGCTAGCGGACGGTATACAGTGCGGTACGTGCGCTGGTACCATTGCATATTCGCACGCACGTGCGACACAGTGATTTTTCCAAGTCGCCTGTCAATGTGTAACCTTTTGTCCAGCCCGAGAAGGCTCCAATCAGTGTTATGCCCTGTGTTTCTACCGTTTAAACACTCCAATAACGACTGGTGAAAGAGATTAAAACTACGTTCACGATGATTTTAACATGCCATTTCCATCGACTTTTCTTCAAAATTATGATTGAAATAAAATGACATTTTGTGAAAAAAATCGTTAGAAAATCCATGGCAGGGTGGCCAATCCTTTGGCAGGGCGGCCTTAATTCTTAGGAGGGCGGCCCGCCCTCCCAAAACCTACATGTGGAGAACACTGATCAAAGGATTAGCTTGATATTTTACCATTTATCATTGGTGTCCTTGGGGATTTACTGGTTCACATCCTAATCAGCTAAGCCAACAGTTGATGGGGTCAATTGGAGGGCAGCTGGTTATATCTTTATATCAAAGGATTAGCTTGATATTTTTGGATACTTGTGCCTGCCCACCTTCAAACATGGGCAAATAATACCCCTCATAGTTTTACAACGACTTACAAAAAAACAAGGTAACTCATGCTACTGTTACACCAAGATAAACCTTAGCATAGCAGTTACTTATTATGTCATCAATTAAGCTTTAGTGTTGTTTGTGTAAGAACACAATCAAAATAAAAAAATTGTAATTTTTTTGGTATATCCTTTCAACCATGTTTCAACGTAGCATCAGTTAGGCCCTACCATTTTTCACAGCTGTCCTATACATACATAAGTTGACATCTGATTTTTGTAGTACCATGGAGATCTAGCCCTGAATGTTGAGTATAAAAAATACCAAAAAAATGGGGATTCCAATCAAATGGGTTTAAGAGCTGGAGCATGAAGAATGTAAAAGTATGAGCAAAAGTGTAGCATGAGTTACCGTGGAATCGCCATCTAGTGTATTGTGTGCCACTACTAAGAGAAACTTGTTGCTAGTATTATTGCATCTGGGTGCTCTACGCTGACTAGTAGTTAAGTGCTATGAACTGATGGCCTGATCCTTTGCTGTTCAGTGGCATATTGAACTATGGTAAGGCCACAAAAAAAAAAGGTTCTGCTTCTGGTTTATACCCTATACCTACCCTATTTTGACAACCCCAACCCTTTTTTTTGGGGGGGGGGGACCCAAAAACATCAATTACTACCTTTTTACCCTTGACTACAAGCAGACACCTCCATATGATCGTACACAAACAAATTGCCAAAACTTTCCCTACCTATACCTACCCAATTTTCAAAAGCAAAGTAATCGGAAGCAGAACTATATTTTTTGGGGCCTAACTAATGTTACCTTGTGTGTACATCGGTAACGCACACTACTGGTAACTCGATCATGCTACAGTTTATTGGGTCATTATTAAATGTTAGACACCAGTAGTACTTCATCCAATTTTTGAATCCACGATCATTTACAAACGTTTATTTGCGAACTTTAAAAAATGAAACTGTCAAAATATTATGAAATATCCTAAAATGTAATAATATGGGCCCAATTTCATAGCGCTGCTTAACAACCAACTTTGTGCTTACCGAGCCTCCATCTATTTCATAGGGACTGTTAAGCAGTAAGCACAGCAAAAGCACGCTTAACCCAAGAAGAAAACTTTGCTTAAATCAGTGACGTAACAATAGAAGTCTCCATGCGCGCGCAACCGTTAGCATGAAATAGTGCTTAAGCAGCAGCATGATTTTCTGCTATAGTAAGCACAACTTTTCTGCTTACTGTTAAGCAGTGCTATGAAATTGGGCCATGATCATCATCCTGTGAAGCGCTTAGTATGCTGTGAGTTTGGTGAAAAGGGGAATTACCATGGCGATTAGATGGAAACTATTGCTTTTTGTCAATCACAAATGAAGATACTTTTCACAGTTTTCTCAAAAAGTACATACTGAATTCAAATTGCGGCAAGTTAGTTTGTTGATTTTTGCAAATGTGTCCATTACCTTTGAACGGGAGGCGATTTTGTTTTTGATACCCGGTACAAAAAAAAACACCTGTGCCCGTCCTTAAAGTTACATGAACATGCACATTTACATTTTGACAATAATTCGCCACTTTTATGAGTTCAGGTTTCAATTAACAAATTTGAAAACATGTTATAATTTTTCGTTTTTAACTCTTTCAGTGCCAAACTCGTACATGTACGAGGTATATTTGTTAGTCCAATAGCGCCAACCTCGTACATGTACGAGGTAATGTTCGTAAATGTTCGTACTTAAAATTGCCAAACCTCGTACACGTACGAGGTAGAGTAAATATGTTATCAAAAGGGGGTGCTCTTGCTCTTTCTAATGGTACCATTTTCATGCATGTACGACCTGTATTTATTTTTTCATTCGAGTTCTTGAGAGAGGGCGCAGCACTAAATCTCGTATTTTCTGCAAAAAGTGCGGAATCTCCCTGTGTTCAGGCCAGTGTTTCAGGGTGTATCACTATGTTTGTGACTACTTTTGACTTTCAAATATATCAAGGATATACCAGAGAGTAACAACAACAAATTTAGTGAGTAAAACTTATTTACTTTTTTTTTTACAGAATTTTGAACAATTAACAAAAACGCTCGAAGTTGGGCGCTTTAGGGTTAAACTTTTCAAATTTCGCGGGCACTGAAAGAGTTAACAAAACCCAAACAATTCAGTCAAACAAAGCAATATAATATATTAACACATTTAGCATAATATCATTTTTTGCCACATCACATATGGATGGAAAAAAGAAAAAAAGAATCACAGTTATATGTATAAAAACAAGTTTGTTGATTACCTGATCTAAGATGGAGTCCATGAGTGCCTTGAATCCAAGTGGGATGGCCACCGCACCAATAAGGACCATCAGTACGCCGATGACCATCACAATGACGAAAGTACGAGTTCTGAGCTTGTGAGCAACTTTGGCAACTGTCATGATGACTTCAGGCAGTGGATCTAAGTATGTCAAGTCAGCTCCAGAGTTGGGCAATGACTGATTGCAGTGGGACTTGCACCTGTCAGTATATAGGCCTAAAATACAGTACGGTGATTGACAGTATCTATCTATGCATGAGTTCACTTGATGAATCCTATTTCTGCATAAACCGTGCAAACTCGTTGATGACAAGGATCTCTTACAGTGCTTTTACAATTCCTACACAATAATGTATCATGCAATTCTGTTATATATTGACTACTGGTACCTGGACCCCTTCCAGTCTGGTGCACAGGGCTTTCATAATCCCTACACAATGCATCATGCAATTCTGTACTCGAACCCCATCTGGTCTGGGTCCCCTCCCCCTCCCCCCCAAAAAAATACAGCTTTTTGATTGGTCAATATGCGTGGAAAGGACGGAAAAATGGGGTGTGGCATTACCTTTACTGGTGTGCAGCACTGGTCTTGTCTATAATGAGCAGAGATGACAACCAGTCCAATCACACATTCAGGTCTGTAGACAAAGATCCACAGACACTCATTGGCTGTCACCAGACAAAACTGGACCAATCGGTGTGTATTAGAGCAGTGACCTGGCCATGGATAGTAGGTGTGACTTGGTCAATGAGTAACAGCAGTCAATCTGCAGAGATAGAATGTAGCTAGGTGTACAAATGTGCATTATCATTGTCAAATATATTGCATGTTGGCTGTCTAGTGTTAATTGCTTGAAGTATAATGATCTGACTGTTGGTGACTAGCCTGTGTAAAAGGAATGGCAGGGAAAGAGGATTTATTTGTTGACTGTCTGTGACTGTTCAGATAACAGGAGGGTCAATTACATGTAAGACTTTTTTTTAAATGTACATTGTAAATTTTTATGTACAGTATGTACATTATGAATGAAATTCTCTTGCATTCTAGTGTGCATATGTCACTGAATAGAATGGCAGTTCAGCAAGTCTGGATTAAAAAAAAAAAAAATAGCAGGTTGGTAATTCAAAACTTGCCCTACAGGCAGCTTGCAATTTGCTAACTGACTACCGTACAGATATCTTAGGGTACGTTCAGACGGAGGGCAGTTCTGGAGCTAGCTTTTTTCCAATTAATGAGCTCAACTGTGGGGTTCTGTGGCAAGCTAGTTCATCAAAATGTGCTTATCTACGAAGATGGTTAACTCTGGAACAGGAGTTAAAATGGAGTTAAGCCTAAAAGGTCACCAAATAGGTTACGTCATATTGGTCAGACAAGACTAGATGCGTCAGCTTTGAGAAACATGTAGGTCAGCTGCGTCCAAACGACAAATAACGGTGGAGCTACATGTAGATCATAAAGAAAGCACCACTGAGCTGAAAGTGGAGCTATCCCCACAAAATGTTGGGGCTAAAATAGCCCCATAAATGTGGCCAATTTACTGGGCTATCCTACCGTACACGTATAAAGGCCGCACTTCCACCATGTACAAAAACATGTCAAACTTTGTCAAATTTTGATTTTCACATTTAGGGTTAGTTTGTAGCTTATTTTTTGCTTTTGAAGCATACTCACCCTCTGTATAGGCTAATCAGAAAATGCTGCCTTTTTCAGATGTCTAATTTTTGTGCAATTTCATGTTGAAATTTTGATAATCAAACTTGTGCAAACGAATCTGGAAATTTCACAAAAAGTAGACTTCTGAAAAAGGCAGCACTTTCTGGTTAGCCTATACAGAGGGTGAGTATGCTTCTAAAGCTAAAATAAACCACAAACTAAGCCTAAACGTGGAAATCAAAATTTGACAAAGTTTGACATGTTTTTGTACATGGTGGAAGTGTGGCCTTTATTTACGGAGGTAGTCCAGTTAATTGGCCACATTTATGGGGCTAGGGCTAGAACAGCTCCTGAGCTAGCTCCAGGGGCGGAGTTAAGTTGCATCTAAACGATTTTGGGTGAAGTAGCTAGCTCCCGAGCTACCCCGTTCCCCCTTGAACGACATGTACCGGTACTTAAGAGGGATAAACATTCTTCACCAAGATTGTTGGAAGGAGGCTGATAAGATACCGGTACTTGTAAGTGGGATGAGCAGAGAGTGTGACAGCATCTTTAAGTCCTTCAACACTATCAAAAATCTCTGCGTTGGATCTGGTTGAACCTTGAGATTTCACACTAGCAAGAATCTACATGTATACCAAAACATGTAAGGTTTTTTTTATGGGTTCAGTGCTAGATGGATAACATTCAGTCTTTATCAGGATCCTCATAGAAAATCTCTGGCCAAATCCTATGTTTTTCCTATTTAAAATACATTTTTAAGCTATTTTCTCCTAGAAAAATAGGTAAAATATATATATTTTATTTCTATTACATCAAAATAAGTAGATGCTGATGCACTATTTCATCCCTATTTTCCTTGTTGCCACTCTATTTTATTTCTATTTTTAAAACTGCATGCTATTTTATACTATTGGAGACTTAGTCATTTTTTGTGTGGTCCACGGGCTATTTTTTGTGTATTTTCTGGAGACTTACATGTACACGTAACACGTGTTTATGAGAACCATGGACTATTTATTTCCTATTTTGTGGACATATGCTCGGTACAACACAATCTGAAGGCCAAGCACTTAATTTGCATACCAGATAAACATCATGTGTGTGTGGCAAATTTGAATTTTGTCAGTTGCATTCTGAGAGCCCTTTGTGAAGCACAGCTGCAATAAAGATGTGTGCAATGGGGCCAAGCATTTGGGGTTAAAATGCATCCATATCACTTTAATGGAGTGACACGTGCAGGGAAGAGAAAATGTTGTCAACACTTGGTGAAATTATTCATTCTGTACACGTATGTATCTGACCTCAAATGACAAATTCGAAGTTAAAAGATTAGTACAAAAAGTAAACTTTGCAAAGCAATAAAAATATGTCATGTTTTTTTCCCCCCCTAACTCCCTAGAAGGTGTGTATGTACATGTTAAAATCATATTGAAATTGGAGGATTCAGGACTGTTAGGGTTATTCAAACTGGTCAAATTGCATTTAGGCCCGACAGCATTAAGGGTAAGAAAATGAAACAAACAAAAGAACAAACTATGTACAAACATTTAACTTTTTGTCAGCAGTCAATTTTTAGCGAGCTACGGTATTGCTACATGTGTTCAAACTGAAAAAGTACGAAATGCGAATACACAATCTGTAGGGGCTTTTGTCCGGATGAAATTTCATTGGGATAAATTGTGGAGACCTGAAGTCTGTTTTACAAGAGGAAATTTATCAACCACTAACTAAAAATAATTAGTTGATGATAAGATGAATGATAACTTTTATTGTGACTGCCCACACATGTTCAGAGATAAGGACACTGAAAACAGAAAACTGATAAAAAAAAAAGAGATAAACACACTCACATGTTTATTAAAATTGACATTATCACTGACGCAGGTGCATGTCATTTAAATTTTTTAAAAGGGCTCCCCCCCCCCCAGTTTCTGCATCTATTTTATTCCATTCCAATTTATTTACAAGAGACAGAAGTTGTTTTTCAATGGAACTATCAATCAATCAATCAATACTTTATTTCCACTCAATCAAATAACAATACATGGAAAATGGGTATAATTAGAATGAAGGGCGATTAAGTGGTGGGGGCCTCCAAAAAGCAGGGCTTGTCCAGTAGAGACCCCCCATAATGTGCATAGCTTAAAGGATTAGATTAAACAGACATAGTTAAATTGAATGCTATACACTAAGTAATAATGACTAAGTTACACAAGCAACAAGGACTAGGACAAAGACGAGGACATACTGCACGGCAGTATAGGGTAGGCCTATTGTTCACGAAGATCAACCCACATGAGGAGTTATGATAATAAGGTAAATAATATAAATGAACTGTATTAAATCAAGTCAAATCAGCCGTTTTGATATTTTCCCAGTAAGATACACTTCAATTTTTGCTTAAATAAACGACGACTGTTAAACACACTTAGTGTCATTATCCAAAGAATTCCAGAACTTAGAACCTTGAAAACGAATTCCTTTTTGGGCAAATGAAGTACGTGTAAATGGGATATGAATGTCACTGGCACGTCTAGTATAATGTTGATGAACAGAAGTATTTATACAAAACATAGATTGGAAATAATTAGGTAATTCATGTTTAAAGAACTTATACATAAAAACTCCTAACTGGAGTAAATAAATATCATTGACTTTAAGAGTCTTATGTCTAATGAATAATGGATTTGAGTGAGCTCTAAAGTCTACATGATCAATAATTCTCAATGCCCGTTTTTGTAAAATAAAAATTCTATTTACAAAATTTGTATTTCTCCAGGCTAGAGTACCAAAGGTAATATGTGATAAAATCAAAGAATTGTAAATATTATGTAAAACCTCGGACGGAAAGACATATTTCAATTTACTGATAATGCCTATGTTTCTCGACATTAGTTATTAATGTGTTGACTCCAAGATAGCTTGGCATCAATAAACAAACCTAAAAATTTAATACAGTCAGTTTGAGTAATCGGTGAATTATCGAATAAAATATCTTGAGGAAGACAAGAAACTGTGTTGCTGAATAACATGAAACTAGTTTTATCAATATTAATAGACAACTTGTTAGCTTTAATCCAGTTTGAAACATGAGTGAGCTCCCGGTTAACTGTATCAATAAGATTGTCTACGTTTTTATGGGAATAAAATAAATTTGAATCATCAGCAAAAAGTATAAAGGAAAGAATCTCAGAAGATTTATCAAAATTATTAATATAAATAGAAAACAACAAAGGAGCCAGTAAGGAACCCTGTGGTACTCCACACGTTATTATTCTTTAAGGTTAGATTTCTTGTCATCAATACAAACAAACTGTTGACGATTAGTAAGATAATTCCTGAACCACTCCAAGGCAATACCTCTAATTCCATAAAAGTTAAGTTTCGATAAGAGAATTTCATGATCAACAGTATCAAATGCCTTGGAGAGGTCCAGGACAATTCCCAGAGTATGGCAAGACTGTTCGCGTCCTGTGGTAATTTTGTCAATTAGTTGCAGGATAGCATGTGAGGTTGAGTGATTCTCTCTGAACCCATATTGAACATCGGATATAATATTGTTTTTCTTTAAAAACTGAGATGTGCAAGTATAAATAATACGTTCAAGAATTTTCGAAAAAGAAGTTAAAATAGAAATGGGTCTATAATTACTCATCAGGTGGGGTCACCCTTCTTAAAAATAGGAATGATCCTGGCTATTTTCACAGACAGTGGAACTGTGCCAGTAATAATAAAAACCGAGAAGGGTCATTAAGATTAAATGAGGCTTGGAAATTGGCTTCATTAAAATAATCACATGAATTTTGGTTATTGTTCAAATTGTTAGGGTCAGATACGGGGTCAATAGCCTCAAAAATAGCGTTGTAATTTACAGCTCCTATGGAAGTCATTTTTTTCGGTGGTGACGAAAGTTGAAAGTATATCCAATGCCGGTTGGCCTATGAAATTTTTTGAACAAAAAAGAATAATACCCTTTAACTTGAGATGAAGGAGACAGGACACGACGAGGACAACAATTACATAAACAATAACGGGAAAAACTATGTAAGTAAGCATAACGGTAACTAAGAACTAGTTGAATAAGCACTCAATTAAAGAGTGTCTGAGGTAGCGGTACATTAATTTTGTCGTAGGGTGTAATAATATATAATGTTTGATTTGGTAGATTTAACTCACCACCAAACCGGAACAAGAAATGGGATCATTTCCTGAGTTTTTGGAGATCATCCTTGGAGCCCACAATTACACGGTTGCCATCTTTCTGCAGGATCTCAATTCGGCCGTCTTGGGTCCACACCTTGTCAGAAGCAGGGTGACGTTTCGCTTCAGTCAGCCAGCCTTGACGTTCTCGGGTGAGACTTTCGTTGACGTAAAATGTTTGAGCCTTTGAATTTAGCTCGAAGACGGTAGAAGGAGGCCCGGGAGTTGTAGTCCACAAACTTTACAATAATTGGCCTCGGCCTCCGCTTGCCTGATGCATCTTGGCGATTGCCTGATGCATCTTGGCGAGTCCCGATGCGATGAGAGCGGTCGATTGCTTCCGGGCGTAGCTCGATACCGAGGTGTTGCTTTGCCGTATCGGTGATCATTTTGTCTGTGTTCTGGGGTTTGGGCGTCTCAGGTATGCCGTGGACAATGAGACAATTGCGGCGGGTGTATTGTTCTTGATCAGAGAGCCGTGCTGACGTCGGACGTCCTTTTCCAAAATTGCTATTTTTTTATCCCGGCTCTCTAGTTCCATCTCCATAGCCTTATGAATGTCCTGAGAAATGGTGTCTGCAATGGCATCGGAGAGCGCAGGTATTAGGACATCCAGTAGGGCCTTGGACCGCAAAGCCTCGGTGATAGCTGCAGTTAGGGCAACGGGGTCGATTGCAGGGGCGTCACCTGGGCTGGATGTTGCCGTGTTCGATGCTTGACGTTTCGGCAGCATTTTTACCAGAAGGCTCGTAATGGTTTTACGATGGGAATGAGCAATTTGTATACTTTCGGGAGCAACCTCAAAAACACGTCCGTTTGCTTCTGTTACATGCTAACTATAAAAATGCATGGTTGTGCAACTGTCAAAATATTCATTAAAATTGATGTGTTAATTTATGTTAGGCCTATAGCCTACAGGATCTCTACTCGACAAGCTCTACTTTTTGGGGATCCCCTTCCACATAAAAATTTAAAAAGAATGTAATGTACTACGGAAATATGTAATAAATTATCTAATTTAATAAAATAAATAACAAGTAGGCCAATATTTACGTTCTAATGTAATGTTATTTCGGAATAAAATGTTGCAACCTAACAAAAACTAACAGGAAAGAATTTCTCTAATATTTAGTTGAACTGTCAAATATTTTTGGGGTTATACGATGATGTAAAACACCACTGCGGAGTTAAATGAACAAAGGCTAAGATTATCTGAGAGATTCCATATTTTTAAACAAAAGTCTGAGGGATTTCCAGCAACCCCAAACGTACAAGAATATATCGATCATTTTGATTACGTCAGGCCTGAAACAGTTTCCAAAGGTAATGCCGATTGACGACTACGGTATGTTGCATTTCCCGCTGAGTGACCGGAGTATGTACATACGTAGTGAATGTGAGACCGTTTTTTTCTGCCGGCTGGGTCCATCCCGTGGGTACGGGTACTGGGTGACCGATGGGCCGTGCCGGCAGTCCGCCTAGCCTCGGCACATGTACACGTAGGTCGTGCGTGAAACTTGTACCGGTATTTCAAAGCTCAGTCAATTTAAGCCCTACTATAAAGCTATATCCCCAGCCCGAGCCGTCCACATACAGTAACATTCACACAACAGAAACAAAAGTGCTTACAGAGATTAGTTTTGAAGAACTGAATTAAAAAACAGGTGCTCGAGATCTTCTTGCTACAAGAAAATTACAACACTTTTCTTGTGTACATTTTCCCATAGGGACCGAGCTGGTTATGGACCGAGTTGGTCACGGACCAAGTTGGTTACAGACTGAGTTGGTTACGGACCGAGTTGGTTACGGACCGAGTTGGTTACGGACCGAGTTGGTTATAGACCGAGTTGGTCACAGACCGAGCTGGTTATGGACCAAGTTGGTTACGGACCGAGTTGGTTACGGACCGAGATGGTTAGGGACCGAGTTGGTTATGGACCGAGTTGACTCGGAAAGAGTTGATTACAGACCAAGTTGACCAGCAACAAACTCAACCATGTCATTAGTCTTGGCCCAAGACATCAGTGACCGAGAGTGATAGTTGCAATGTTCTGTAGCGCGCCCTTGAGTAATTGATTTTTTACGTTCTCTCACTAACGTCTTAGTCATTTCGTAGCAATGGGGCGTGGCCATTTTATGTAAATAGGACCGTCTGTATCAATTCGAACAAAACCACAGTTCCCATTTGTCACAGTGGTCGCGCCCTTGCGCGGGGGTATCACTGCGTCGCGAATGTTTACAACCATCAGTCGATATTTCTCGGTCGCTTATAGACCGCTTGCAGACGCGTTCGATAATTGATGCGCGAAGGTGCGCGACGCCATGTTGTGGGACAAAATGTGCATGGATAGATATACGCTTGTCCCACAACATGGCGTTGCGCGCCTTCGCGCGTCGATTATCGAACGCGTCTGCAAGCGGTCTATTGGTTCCCTAGAGTAGGAAAGCCTCAGGAGAAAATGAAGAAAAAGTTCTAGGAGTAGGAGCAGTCCGAATGTTAAAAGGGGGCGATAAGTTGGGTCCAAGTTACTCGGACTAGGGTATTAACAGTGTATGCGGCTAGGGCTAGAACAGCTCTTGAGGTAGCTCCAGGGTAGTCCGAGTAACTTGGACCCAACTTATCGCCTTTTTAACATTTTTTAATGGAAATGGTCTGGCTTGCCTACAACTAACTAGGCTAGTACTATTGCCATACCATGTCTGAATGTTAAAAAGGCGATAAGTTGGGTCCACTCCAAGTTACCCGGACTAGAACCAGGCCAATACCATGAAGACTACATATCAATGTCATGAGCCTGCCGGCGCTGGGTATAACTACATGTATAACAGTATTGTTGATGTACCCTAACGTGGTGCGGCCCCTAACGTGGCGCACTTTTATTTTTCGCCTGTAGCACCTAGCTAGAGCAAAAGTTTTAACTGAAATTTCACAGAAAGTGAAATTTCATCAAGTTCTAAACACTCCCGTTCATAAATCGCGAGTTTATTTACCCGTTACAAAGTTAAAAGAAAAAATTATTTTTTCCGATTTTATTTTCAAGTGCAAAGTGAACCCTTTGAAAATGCCCCGAAAAATAAGAAAATAATTTTCTGACAAACATCTTGCTGGGTTTGTAAGTAAAGATAATAATGATTTATCAGAATTTATCAAGTCTACAGGGCACAATTGCAGAATACCCCGCCACTCGATCTATCCACCTCGTAGCCGGCTACGAGGTCACGGTTGGTTGACCTCAGTAAACATTCTCAGCGCTACTTGTATGTACTATGCGTCATGCTCCATTGCACTCCCACTTCGTAACCGCGTAGCCGCCAACCATGCCAACAGGGTAGTTGGTTTGGACTTAGAATTTTTTCAGCAACTCCCATTCCTTTTGTGTTGCTTCGTTCTCAAGCATATTCAAGGGGACTCCCACTCCGTATCCGCGTACCGTAGCCGCCAACAGGGTGGTTGGTTTGGACTTAGAATTTTGTTCAGCAACTCCCATTCCTTTTGTGTTGCTTCGTTCTCAAATAATGGACCCCCACTCAGTATCCGCGTAGCTGGCATGGACTTGAATTGTTTCTTTTCCAGTGATTCCAACCTCGTAGCCAGAGAATTTAGGGGTGTATTTCCGAGTGGCGGGGTATTCTGCAATTACTCCGTTTACAGAAATTCTTAAATATTAATTTGGAATTTTCTGAGATTTATTCAAGTGCGCCACGTTAGGGAACACTCCGCCAATTTGTGCCCAATTTCCGGACGCGACCGTTTTTGCATTTCGGATTAAATTTTATGAAACCGAAATTGTTCACAGAGGTTAAAGCTAGAGTCCATCATTTGCAGCCATCCGAAAAGTAACTGGTGTAATTATTGTTGAAAAACAAACTTGGTTGAAAGATAGTAAGGGAATTAAACTCCCTGTGAAATTATTCTTTCTGGGAAGCTGTCATTTTGAAGTAATCAATGAAAGAAGGCATTTCCAACGGTGATTCTTAAGAAGCACCGTAGGAAAATTTTAATTAGTAGTTCGTTTTGTTATTCAGCGCAGCGCGCACAAGTATTGGAACGACGCACACGCGCGCGGTTGTTGTAATTCGTCGGATCAGTGCGCGACGTCGCGTATAGCTGCAATTCAAAACAATTCAAAACATGATTCAGTAACTTTTGATTTGAAATTGAGATCTTAGAATGCTGTTTTTCTCGGAATGTACAGCTGAAGCTTAGCTGAAACTTCATCAGGTTAGTTGCTCAGTATCCTTCATTAGATTTTGAACTCTTTTGTTGCTTCAAACGAACAAAATGCACAAATTACAAATGATGGACTGTAGCTTTAAATAGCAAGCATTAAAAAGGTAAAAGTACCAGCATATCATTTCACTGCATGAATTTGAGGTTATCAACAAATAGCCCCACTAGTGTGGCCGTCGGTATGCTGCGCTGAACCTTGGGTTCAGCGCAGCATACCGACGGCCACACTAGTGGGGCTAATCAACAAAGAGGTTTGGCAACACTGCACGAGGAAAGTTGGGTAAGCTTCGAAGTGCGCCACGTTAGGGAACACGACTATAAAAAAAAAGATACATTTCAATAAATTCCTTACCCCTGGCAAATTACTGTCACTGTATCGACCGCGCTTGTTGACAACACCAGCTACAATAAATAAGCTAAGCACATCACTAGCACTTCACTGATGCTTCAGCTCTGCTGTGTCCAACAACTGGTTATGTACATGTACGTACGGTTAGCTGCCTACCACGCGTACCGGCCGGCTATGGATCGCAAGTCGCAACCCGTATCCCAACGTTCTGAGTTCTGACCAGGGTGACCGTAAGATCAGAGACAAATTCTGCTAAATGCGCATCAAAAATCTGTCAGATTTATCAAAAATCTGCCAAATTCCCCAGAATTACTCGAAATACACTATAAACACTGAAAAACACACGCAGATGGGTACTTTTGCCTTAATTAAGGTTCAAATTACATTATAAACCATAAACAAGCTATAGTCTCATAAAGATGTTGTGAAATTATTGCGTAAATTTCGGGCAAAACGCGGATCCGGCCACGACGAAGTCCGTTTCTGAACTTCAGTACCTAGACCAGCCAACCTGTCCCTTTATGCAAGGGTTTGTTTGAAAGGATTCAAGCTTTATTAAACAAATGTACCATTTTTTGTTTAAATTTGCTGTTTTTCTGTCAAATAACCACTTTTGCAGAATTCTGCCAGAAATCTGCCAAAAAATCCATTCTGTCAAATTTTCTGTCAAACTCGTTTTTTTTTAATGAAAATTCTGTTAAAGTTAGCCGAAAATCGGCTAAAACGGTCACCGTGGTTCTGACGTCGCGCTGCTGTCCAAAAAAACAGCGATCGCACGTGAGTTTTTTGGACAGCCGATTGTACGAAAGCCCATTAGCGCCACTGCAAGTATATGTTATTACGGATTATTAATTCGTTAATTATTACGGATTATTTAATTCATTATTACGGATTATTAATTCGTTATTACGGATTATTTAATTCGTTATTACGGATTATTAATTCGTTATTACGGATTATTTAATTCGTTGTTATGGATTATTTAATTCGTTATTACGGATTATTAATTCGTTATTACGGATTATTAATTTGTTATTACGGATTATTAATTCATTATTATGGATTATTTAATTCGTTATTACGGATTATTAATTCGTTATTACGGATTTTGTTAATTTGTTATTACGGATTGTTTAATTCGTTATTACGGATTATTCATTCGTTATTACAGATTAAAAAAAAATTAAGAAGGGGCAAAACATATTTCTCAACATATTCTCCAATTATTTTTTTAGAGGGGGGCACCCCCCCCCCAACCCATTAAAATTAATTTACAGCAATATGACATCGCTCCTCTTTTTTTTTTTTTTTTTTCTCGTTGTTTTCCTTTCGGGGGCAAGCCCCCCCCCCCCCCCCCCCGCGACGCCCATGTCCAAAGCCTTCTATGCAGTCGTATCATTGTTGCGGCTGCCAACAGAAAAAAAGGAAATTGATGTTAGAGGTCACTCCGTTGTTTTTTGGGGTCTGAGCTTATATATCATGAGTGTAGAATAATAGTTTCAATATCCTTCCTATCACTACCATGACTTTTGAAAAGCTGGCGTTTTGAAGAATACAAATGATAAATAGTGATAAGTTTGTATACAAAGTTAATTGACCCATCCCAGGGTACCAGAGGTCTGATATACTCCTCTCACATCTGAAATTATTTGAATGGAAACCCAAATATCTGTAGTACATGTGTGGAGTTTCAATTCAACCTGTTAAAATGATTTGTTGTCATGGTCATTAAAAAATCGGCACTCATTCGCACTCATGCGCACTCGCATGTAAATTAAACATGGTCAATGTGATGGGAAAAGTTAACATTTAAATCGACCTGTTTTGGTAAATGGATATTTTGTGACGAAGGTATGCCATATTTACGTAAACTTGGTGTCAAAATAACCACAGGACATCCTAACAACTGTCAGAGAAACTTGGCGGGATTTAAAAAGTGCATTGCGACGATATAGGAAAAATGCACATGGAGTGGGTTAATTGCGCTCCCTCCCCCTCCGTATTTCGCGCCGTTCTTAAGTTAATTATTCTGACCTAAAATCACTCTTTAGTCATATTTTCATATTTCACAAGTGCCAAGGCAACAATAAAAGTTGGTTTATTTTCTCCTCTACCGTTGTTGCAAGGGTATGAGCGAAAAACAAAAGGTGGGGGTAAAGGCCACGCCCCCCCTCCTCTGCGCTTTTTGCGCCGCTTTTAAGTTAATTAGTCTGATCTAAAATCACTCTTAAATTTTTTCCATAATCTACAAGTTCCAAGCTAATGATACTCGTTTTGATCCTGTTCTCAAAATTTGATTAAATGTAAAATTTGCCGCATGCCGCCAATGGGCCTTTGTCTGATCTAGCGAAACTTAAGACCAGCCATTCTGTGATCAGGCTCAGTGCTACTATGCTTTAAGACATGACAACCTTGGGATTTTTCCCCGAAATTTTGCAGTTTGATTAAACCCTATCCAGCTCTCAGCTCAGTGCATTCGAATTAAATAATCCGTAATAACGAATTAATAATCCGTAATAAACGAATTAAATAATCTGTAATAACGAATTAATAATCCGTAATAACGTATTAATAATCCGTAATAACGAATTATTAATCCGTAATAACGAATTACTAACATATACTTGCAGTGGCGCTAATGGGCTTTCGTAGCATTGCATTGTGTACGTATAATTGATAATTGATAAGTAAGATTTGAGGCTTTATATGGTGGAGATACTAAATAATGAAAGGTTTGCGGAAACACCCTGTGCGAATAATTTCTCTACTAAGAGAATGGTTCTGGTTCCCCTATATCCTGGCGTCGTCCATCTAGCCTACATAGTCCGCCAACTGGATCTCCTATATCCTGGCGTCAGTCTTCTCGCCCGCGTAACCTGCCATCTGGATCTCCTATATCCTGGCGCCATCCACCTCATCTCCGTAGTCAAGACACCTTCCCCAAGCATACTGTCGTCAACCTCAGCAGCCGACAGCTGAACAGAACAGACACGAAAGTTCTGTCCCTTGGCATGAACTTTGCTGTTCCTCCTTGCAGGGAACGCCTCTTATGAACTAAGTAAGAACTAAGCGGTTTGTGTTCCCGCAATACTCCCGTCCCAGAAACGCTTTTCGGGAAAGACATGAATAATACAATGAAACAGGTAGCTGAAGCCTACAAAGCAGGCACAAAATTGACCTCAGACGAGAGGAAAAAATCAGTCTTCCTATATCGCCGTTATGTGCCTTATAACCAGCAGAGAGCAGGCAAAGGCTCGTCCGCAAACTACAGCGGACCCACTGGAGACAGACGCTTCTGGCGTTCATCTTCTCGGGGTTCGAATGTTCCCCAACACAGCCGTGGGCGATCCACCTGGCAGCAGAGATCTAACAATGTAAAATTGATTTCTTGAGCTGTCCAATTCAAACCTCAACACCTCAAAAGAAATCATTCTGTGATCAAGAATCACTTGTGATCAATACTGAGATTAGTGAACTGCTGCACAAAGGTGCAATCAGAGAAGTTCCTCTGGCTGAATGCCAGTTTCTGTCGAACATTTTTCTGATAGCGAAAAAGACAGGTGGATTGAGACCAGTTATCAATTTGAAAGATCTTAACAAATTTGTGTCGTACGAGCACTTCAAAATGGAAAATATCAAGCTTGTGAAAAACCTTATTCAAGTTAATGACTTTCTCACGTCAATTGACCTGAAAGATGCTTATTTTTGTATTCCAATGTGTGAGCAGGATCAACCTTATCTTTGCTTCTCTTGGGCAGAAAATTTTTTCTGCTTTACTTGCCTACCATTTTATCATCAGCCCCTAGAATTTTTACTAAGGTTATGAAACCTGTTGTAGCATCAGCGAGAAGTCGAGGTATTCGCTTGGTCATTTATTTAGATGACATCCTCATCATGTCTTCTTCAAAAGAAGAGAGCACCACAAACACTAATTTCGTGATAAACCTACTCCAAAATCTTGGATTTGAAATTAACTATAAAAAAAATGTTGTTTGATCCCTGAAACAAAAGTGACATACTTGGAATTCATAATCGACTCAGAATCTATGTCAATTCACATCCCTAAAAGTAAGGTGGAAAAAGTCAAGTCGGAATGTATACAGTTAATTTCCAAAAAATCAGTAAGCATCCGCTAACTGGCGAGATGTATTGGCCTCATTGTTTCAACGTTTGAGGCCTTTCCGCAAGGAAAATTACATTACCGACAGATGGAAGTTGCCAAAGTTAAAGCACTTCAGTCTGAATCGGGTAATTATGATGCCCATATTGATACCACACCATTTCTTCAGGAAATTCAGTGGTGGTTGACGGTTTCCTCTGATGGAGTATATTGTAATATAAAATTACCATCCATCGATATTGTTATCTCCACAGATGCCAGAAAACTGGGACGGGGAGCAGTCTGTCATACAGACAATTATTCTTATGCACAGGGTAAGTGAAAAGACATCCATAAAAAGCTTCATATTAATGTGTTGGAACTCCTGGCTGTGCAAAATGCACTGCTCAGTCTGTGTTCACAGGTGCAAAATGCACATGTTCTCATAAAATCAGATAACAGCACGGCTGTATCATACATCTCCAAAATGGGGGATCTATGGTTTCCTTAAACCAGATTTCGACCACAATTTTTAAGTGGTGTTTGCAAAAGACTTTTCACTTATCTGCAACTCACATTGCCGGAAAAACCAATGTCACGACCGATCTTCTTTCTCGTAAAGAGTTGAACAAAGAAATAAGTATCAAGTGTGTAGTCTTTCATCATATTGTCAAGCATACCTTCTGCCCTGACGTTGACCTTTTCGCATCTTGTGAAAATCGAAAATTGAATCAGTATGTTTCATGGAAAAAAAGATCCATATGCTTGGGCTGTAGATGCGTTTACAATTTCATGGGAGAATTTATCTCCTTATATTTTCCCTCCATTTTGTTTGCTACCCAGAATCCTGGACAAGATTTCCAGAGACACGACAGACTTATGTCTAGTAATCGCCCCCTTGTGGCCAACCCAAGCCTGGTTCCCTCAGCTACTCTCAATGTATGTAGCACAACCAATCCAACTCCCACAGACCGCTCTGAACCAACCTCAGCAAATTCAACCTCTGAATCTAAGATTAGCCGCTTGGACCATCTCAGGCAACGATGGAAAGCAGAGGG